CCCTGCTAATTTGATGGAATTACCTTTTGACGAATTCAAAATGATACTAGGAATGGATTAGTTATATCGTTACTATGCTAATGTTGATTGTAGACTAAAAAGGGTAACGTTGAGAAGTTCAGAATGTGTAGAAGTTATTGTATTTAGTGAAGGATGGAATATATTGGCGAATGTAATTTCAGTGATGTCTGCAAAGAAGTTACTGCTACAGGGATGTCAAGGGTTCATTGCTAATGTACTGGATGTAAGAGCCAAAGAAAAAGGGATTGAAGAAATTCCTATAGTGAGAGAATTCTTCGATGTATTTTCTGCAGAGTTGCCAGGGTTACCTCCGGACAGAAAGGTAGAATTTCATATTGAGGTAATGCCAGGAACAACGCCCATTGCAATGGCACCATACAGAATGGCTCCAAAAAAGTTGCAAGAATTAAAAATTCAATTACAGGAATTACTGGACAAAGGGTTTATCAGACCAAGTGTATCACCATGGGGAGCTCTAGTTTTGTTCGTCAAAAATAAAGATGGATCAATGCGTCTCTGCATTGATGATAGGCAACTCAATAAAGTGACCATCAAGAATAAATATCATCTCCCCAGAATCGACGATTTATTTGATCAGTTAGAGGGAGCTTCAATGTTCTCAAAGATTGATTTACGTTCCGATTATCATCAATTAAAAATTCAAGATAAAGATATTCAATAATTAAAAATACATGGCATGATCATATATGGCATAGTGCATTACATGCATGCAAGTTGTAATGTTACGATCGAATGGTGAGAATGCATGTTTCATGAATGCATCATTATATATATTTTATTTTATGCCTCACTAAGTCTATGACTTAGTGTGTAAGTGATTTACACGTAGGTACTAAGAAGCAAGAAGATCAGAACTAGTCGTGGCGACAACATACCTTACTAGAAGATAAGATCAGAAGTAATTGGCAAAGTATGTGTTTTGTTGTATATAGTGTGTTGGCATGTAATAAGTTGTTAATTACGAATGCTCTGATTGATTTTGTAGTATTTTGGTCAACTTCTGTAAGTGAACAACTTTTATTATAATGAAAGTTTAAAATTTCCCTGATTTTCTTTAAGAGTCAATGTTTGAAAAGTTAAAGTGACACCTCGGATTCGTATTCGGGTCGGGTATGGATTGGGGGTGTTACATGGATCAGTTAGGTTTAGATCCACAACGACGTTATTTGGGAGTCATCTCTATGTTCGACGGGAATACCCACACCTGGTTGGAGTTTGTGGTGAGTAGTGTTTCGGCTGATTGTCTGACCTGATATTTCTTCAGGGAACGTTTTAGGAGTCGTTTCCTTGGAGAGAAATATTTAGTGCAGAGACGATAATAATTTTAGGACCTGGTTCAGGGAGATGATAGTTTCTAAGTATAATATAGAGTTTCTGAAGTTGCTGAAGTATGATTCTAGTTTGGTACCTACCGAGAGGGATATGTGTTGAAAGTTTTCTCAAGGACTCATATACGAGTTGTGTTGTCAGGTGGTTACTCATCAGGATGATGTGTTTGATATTGTAGTAGAGAGAACAAAATATGCTGAAGAAGCTTAGGCTTTTTCTCCTGATAAAGATAGGGTAGATCAAGAGCGATCTAGGAGACCTTCTGGTCAGTCTGAGACCTTCAGGTGGTCACAGTCATGGTAGGACTTTCGGATCTGTTTCGAGGATTGACAGCAGAGCTCAATCGCAGAGTATAGGACCAACTGTTTCTTTGGCTAGACAGTCCTCCCCTGTCTACGCCACCTGACGTTCTGGTGATCGAGATCAATCAGGGACTTCTGCATGTATATTTATTGTTATTTCTATTTCTTGTTATGCACTTATTATAACGCCCTTTCTATATTTGAGTTTTGTATCTTAAGACCCTCAGATTTTTTATTTAAGGCACCGAGATCATCGTTTTCGTTCCGAGTCTAGCGAGATTTTTCGTTGTTGTTAATAGAGTAATTAACTTTTAGAGACGTAGTTTTCATTTTCTGTCTGACTCGAATGAATTTGGAGGACGAAATTCTTTTAAGGGAAAGAGAGTTATCACACCCTAAATTTTAATTTAATTAAGGGACCAAAATAGATAGTTTTGAAAATTTATGGGCCAATCTCAATTTTTTGGGAAGTTCAGGACTTAGTCCTGAATTTTCCCATTTTTGGGCTATAGAGAAAATTTAAAAATGATAAATATATGGTTATAGAGGCTTGAAACCGTAACTTAGGGGATGACCACCCATTCCTTAACCATCCAACCTAGGTCATTGTTGGTGATTATAATAATAAAAATAAATTTTAAGGGTTATGCTCGGGTTAAATACCCAAATCATATACCCCAGCGTGAACCAAACCCTAATTTCCAAATTTTATTCCCCCAAAATCCTTAGCCATCCCTGTCGCCCATCTCCGATCTAGCCACCTCCGGTCGGTAGTGGTGTACACCATCGTCATCATCGAATTCAGCAGCAACCGATGACCTCAACCAAACTGGCCACCGTTAGACATGAAAAAGTGAAAACCTATATAGCTTACCTTCATCGTTCGACGCCACCGTCTGCCGATAAGTGTCACCGCTAACACCAACTGAAGTGTTGCCTCTGTTCGACTGCAACCCATTGTTACACTCGTTGAAACCCTGCGTCGTCTATCGTGGAATAGCGTTCAAAAGTATGGCAAAAATTCAATTCTCCCATCGGTTTCTTACATTTTTCGGCTGCCACGACTATCCTCTTGCCTCATCGCTGCCATCATTGAACTCCCATCGTCATCCGACCAAAACCAAACCTAGTTCATTATCCACCATCGTTGTTCTTGCCGTCTGTCGTGGGTAAGCTTTCGACCATTTTTATTCGATTATTTTCACCGTGTTTTGGCTATTTGTTGAGTTAATTTATGATGATATGGTGAATTAGAGCTTTGGGAGTAATCGGATCCCCCTGAATCGACTGTTTCCCCACCGCACACACCACAACGTGTCGGTAGTGCGCGTGGGCTCTTTCTCCAGCTATGGCCTATGACCATTTATAGAAACTGTCTAGATGGATCAAACTGGTCTGATTCAACTACCGAACTGATTTAACCCAAATCGACATGACTCGTTAACTTTAACTTTGACTTGTTCTTTGACCGTTGACCAGACCCATTTACTTTGACTTTGACCTTTTGACTAGTTTGATTGTTTATTTTGACTAAAAAGTCAAATTTTTTGAAAAGTCATATTTTATGTTTTTTGACATCCTGAGTCCAAATCTAAAGTATGTTTTGCCAAATTCGAACCTAAAAGCCTCCGAATTAACCAATAAACTCAAATATGCATATGTAATTTAAGTGATTTAATGATGTGCATTTAGTTTAATTTAATTTAATTTAAGGGGTCAAAGGCTAATTTGTGTTATCGTATATTTAAGGTACTCGCGATTCTCCTGATCGTTCATCTACTCGACCCGGTTCCTCCCGATCCACTTGATTGCGAGAGCCAGTGATTACTCATATAGTTATGCAACCCTGTTAAATACTCAGTTTAGAGTACTATTCCAATAATAATTTTGTTCTGATAAGACTTAGGTTCTCGTACAGTCGAAAAGCGTAGTGAAGTTGGTGCTCGATAGATCTACCGGACTGATTCTTTTTGTGAGATGTGTTTCTTATGTGCTATATATATATATGTTTGAATATCATGTGCACATGACTATTTTACCTGATTTGCAATATGACTAGTTGGTCTGATTTAATTTCGCATGATTTATATGTTTTAAACCTGATTTCTGATTTACTGAAGTTTTAAACCAGTTTGTCTGATAAATGTTCTCTAGTTACTATTTTTACTAAATTGACATCTACTGGAACTCTGATTTCCTTGGTACTATTAGTTAATGTTTGAAAACTATTCTCTTCGGGGTACTCTGGGATCTGGTATGAAGTCTTTGCAGGTTCAGCTCCGATCAAGCTAGTAATTCTTCGTGTAGATTCGACACCGATCAAGCTGGTAATTCTTTATGGACCTAAGACGACCCTTGGGGGGCTCTTAGGCCCCATGGGCCTAGTGATAAGACCTTATGGACCCTAAAGTACTTCTTTAGGGTGGCTCTTCTACTATGTGTATTGGGTAAGTCCTTATGGGTATGAGGGCACACCCCTCAGGTGAGCACCTACACTTCGACTAGGGTAAGACCTTATGGACCCATTGTTCTCTCTTAGGTTGACACCTTCAACTTTTGGGCCTAGGGTAAGTTCTTATGGATGCAGTTCTGAAGAACTACATATGGTGTACGGTTGGAGTGTTGTTATGTATTTTAAACTACAACTCTGCTATCGTTTTCATAACTTTGATAATGATCCGATTTTGAAACCTAACTGTATGTTTTTATTTTGAACTGCTGAAACACACTAAGCTCCCTAGCTCACTCCCCCAAACTTTTCCCTTTCAGATTTTTTTATAGGTGATCCGAACCTGACACTTGGAGGATCGACACATTTGTACATTATTATTTTATTGTAATGTATTTATCTTCCTAGTTGCATTTTTTTTGGTGACATGTGCCTATATTTTGAAAATATTTGTTTTACAACTTATACTGCTTTTGCTACTGATGTTAATTTACTTTGACACCAATTAGGGAATATTTTATATTACTCGGTCCTTACGACTTTTTTTTTCATTCTGGAATTGAACTTTAATATTATCAACTGTATTTTTAAAGATGTTTATTCATAATATTGTTTTAAATCATCAAAAAAATGTTTTGAAAATTTTTATTGCAATCCTCTAGATCTGATCGTAATGTATATGCCGGGTCTAGGGGTTACACAAACAGTGAGATAAGTCTCCTTTCATCTCGTGTTAGAGACTTGAAGAGTGTATCCATGTCGAACTCTTCCTTCACAAAACTTTCGAGCTTCAAGCAAGAATTTGCCTTTAAAAGTACGTCTCTGCATGCCCAATACCCTAGGAAACCTGGATCAATAACAATGTAAGAAACAATCAACTTGAAATCTTTCGGTATTTGTATAACCATCATTAAGTAACAGATATTTGATTTGCACACAATATAAGAGTTTGAGCTTTTACAGTATAAATCTTCAGATGACTTTCATTTCCTATGACAATACCAGCAATATGACATACACGAGATACTAAAACATAGAGTTCCTTATTATCTTTCGCAAATACATACCACAAACCAATACAAAATTAAAAGACAGACACTAAACAGAATTTAAAGATATAACCCAAACCCTTCTTTCGAAATTAGTGTTGCTTCCTTCTTGACTGATTTATATTGGCTGAGATGTTCTGATCTGGGACTTAATGTTATCAGTCGGAATTTGCGCAGATGCATCTGGCAATACTACTCCAGTCATGGTTTGGTACTGAGAAGGCATGTTGGGTGCTAAAGGTTGTGTGTAATACATCTGAGCATGAGCGGGATCGGTGATTTCATAAGCATATTGGGCAGATGCGGCAGATGTAGGTGCGACAGATTGGGAAGGATGATGAATCTGGGAGTAACCCACATATTGTTGCTGGTGCTGACTGTTTTGCACTTGAACCAGTTGCTGGTTACTGGTATTTGATGTTCTGTATAGACCCGTGGAAGCAGTCATTTCAGGTTTGGCAAGAGGAGCATTTCTCATAGGGTTGTATGCTACATGTGTGGGAGCCATTGTAGGATTGGGAGGAGTCTGCGGACGGCTTGAAGGGAGTCCCGTGGGGGCTTCACTAATGCTAGGTTGCTGAACAGGCATGCTGTAAGTTTGGGGCTGCCTTGCAGACACATAATACAGGGGATATTGCTGATCAATCTGTGTTTGATGATGAAGATGTTGCTGCTGCTGCTGCTGCTGCTGTTGCTGGGAAGGATATACAGGATAATAAGCAGATATCGGCACCGCCCCAGAAGGGTGATGATGAATGTAATGTGGCGCAGCAGCAGTAGCCTGTAAGAATTGTTGCTGCTGCAGCGGATGCTGTTGCTGTTGATGGTGTTCGAATTGATGTTGCTGCTGCAGCTGATGCTGTTGCTGTTGATGCTGTTGCTGTTGATGCTGTTCGAATTGCTGTTGCTGCTGCTCGAATTGATGTTGCTGCTGCAGCTGATGCTGTTCCTGTTGATGCTGTTCAAATTGCTGTTGCTGCTGCTCGAATTGATGTTGCTGCAATACATAACCAGAATCCTGAAATGGTTGTTGTATCTGAACTCGGCCAATTGTGTCGGGATCAGAGATATTAAGCTTTGGATCAATGGAGTTTGCGGGAACCCTATTAGCTCCAGATGGGATCTGAAGAACTGGGTCTTGATAAATCACAGGTTTTTGACGCGACAATGGATTTGTAAAACTACTGTCACTGAACAAATTATTTACAACAATCTCAACAACTTTCTAATGGTAAATCCAAGCATAATTGAACAGAAGCAATTATAACAACAATCTAAGCAACTTTTTAACTGTAAATCCAATCATAACTGAAGAAAAGAAACGAAATCCGTGGATTATGAAAGCAGTACCTTGAGATCGAATCTGGAGAAGTCAAATCTTGACCACTGCCATACTTCTGTTGATTCTGAGGAGGCAAACCCTGAGGCTGTGGAGTTTGCAGTTTCCTATAACCCACAGGAACCCCATGATCTGATCTCTCATCATCTGAAAGAACCCGATTCGTGTACTCCCCGGGAACCACACCTGAATTCACGACCACTCCACCCCCAGAAGCGGGGATGCCCACCGGCATTGGCGGTGGGGATGACAAAGCCGCAAACACTTCATCCTGTTGCTTCACTCCAACACCAGCAGCAACGGCAGAAGAAGCAGTTACAGTAAATTGAGCAAACTGTTCCTCAATTCCCACTTTATGCTCCTTCTGATCCTCAACATGGACTCGGATCGGAGGTAAGTTAGCAAGCGAAGGAGGAGAAGAAGTTGAACCAAAAGAAGAAGTAGTTTCAAGCATGGGAGAATCAGGAACCGACTGAACATCTTGACTTTTTGAATTCATATTCTTCCGACTGCCACTCCCTTCATCTTTCGAACCAACTTCTACGACGTTTCCCTGACGATCTTCATCCAAGCCCAACAAATTCACGTTCGTCGTCGGATCCGAAAACCCTCGGTTCAACAACCCAGACCCATTCAACGCGTTAAGAAACCATTCATCGGACTTGGTGGAATTGTTAATAATCGGCCCAATTGAATGAGAAGACGCTAGGGTTCCGTCCGGATTGAGAGGGAAAAGAAAGAGGCGAATCCGGGAGGACTTACTTGACGACGTCGTTTGGGAACAAGTTCGATCGTATTCATCGATCATGTTTTCGAGGTCATCGTCGGTTGTAACGGAGATGAGAGAGTCGAGGTCTTCGGAGGGAAGTTGGTATTTTAGAGTAAAAGGGCAGCCGCGGAGAAGAGAAAGAGAGAGGCGGTGGTGGAGGGAAGCGAGCGTAGTGTGGCGGTCAACGACAACCATACGAGTGTCTCCGCCGATGTAACATAAGACTTTGTCGTGGGGACGAGGGACGATGGTACCGCCATAGCTGCACATGAGGCGGAGCTTTGAGTGGAGAGCAGTGGGAAGAGCCGGGTCGTCCCATGAGTCCGTGTTACGAGAACGTGGCGAAGAGTCTATGGAATCGGGATAGATGGCGGGAATGGAGGTGGTGGAAATAGGTGGAGACGCCGCAGGAGGCGGAGGCGGGGATTCCATTTGAGAATTTCCACGAGAAAGGAGGAACTTGGAAAAAGAAGTAATGAGAGAGAGAAAGAGAGAGAGAGAGAGAGAGAAGATGCGATTGAGTAGCGGAAAGTTAATATGCTTAGCTGCCGTTGCTTAGCTGTTTTGCTCATTTCATTTTGTTTTGGCTTTTTCTAAAAATATCATAAATTTCCTTTAGATTTTTTAAACAATCTTTAAGAGTTGGATTTTTTTAAAACTTAAAATAATCACAAGTAAAACCCCATATGTATAAAGTTAATTATTCTTAGCATTTTTTATTATGAGAAAATAACCATTCTGGTTTTATTTTAAATTTTTAAAAAATATAAATAAGATGGCGACATGTTTATTATATAGATTATATATCCAAGTAGCTATAGAAAATAAAAATAATAATTAATCAGTTAAGATTATAAATCTATTAGGTTGGGATAATTTTCTTTTGGAAAATCACGTGAAGTGCTAATTGTTTTTTGAAACGAACATTTTGTTTAGTTTTATTTTATAAATTTCATATAATTTTCAAACAGGCATGTTCACAAATCTTCACATCCGATTGTCATTCTATTATATTGCAAGTAAGATAACGCAAAGATACATAAATTGACTTGATGAAGGGGTAAAACATTAGTAAAACTGTAAAATGCATCATAAGTAATCATCATTTTTTCCATCATAGTCGTATTTAAAATATTCATGTCTTAACTTTTTTATTTTGATAAATATTTTCTTATTTTTAATTATTAAGTTTATTTTTTTATTTTTTTCATCCAGCCGTCTAAAAAAGATACTAAATTTTACACTAAGTGTAATTAGATTTTATCTATAATAGGGTTAAAATTCACTTGTATCCAGTGTAAAACTCTTAGTTTTATATCTTTTCAAGATCGTTGGATGTACGAAATCAAAGACTGAGATTAACTCATTTTTTAAAATTGAATATCTTCATATATTCTACTGATAATCTAGAGTCTTTAATTTCTCTCATCCAACGGTTCTAAGAAAATATTAAACTTTTAGTTTTACATTAAATGTAACTAAATTCTACCCTTTTTAATATTGGTATTATATAATTATATAATTTTAATAACTATTTTATACATAATATTTAATTTCTCGTCGGACAAATTTAATTTACTTTAATTATTTATTTGAATATTAAATAAGAATACTTACTAATAAATTAAAGTAGCTTATAAAATAAAAATATATTATCAATATGTTAAATAATATTTTTATATAATTTAATATCACAATATATTTTAAATTATCGGATAACTGAAGCAACTTTATAAGTAATAGGGTATAATAGTATTTAAACAGTTAATTTGGTCATTGGTCGAACTGAATTCTCATTAATCGAATTGATTGAACTTTTTTCTTTAACCATTAATTGAACTTATTTTTTAAAAAATATTAATCGAACCGAACAAAATAATTTTTAGTTAGATTAAGTTGAGTTTAATAAATGTATTTTTTATTTGGATTTAAATTTAATTAGGTCTTGATAATTTAATAGATTTATATGATTAAAAAACAATTAGGTATTAATTTTTAACAGAGTTTTGAGTTTAAAATATGTATTTAATATATTTAATATTTTTATTAATTTGATTAATTAATTCATTTTAAATTGAATTAATTGTTAATTCAATATTAAAAATATTAATCATTATTCAATTAAATTAATTCAATAGTTAACCATTTTAATAAAAAAATCAAATTGATTGGTTAATTCAATTAAAATCAAGAAATGAATATTTGTAAGGGTGCGTTTGGTTCATAGAATGTAAGATTACCAATAGGAATAAAAGATTACAAGGGAATATGATTACTGGGAATGTTGTATTTTGTGTTTAGTTGGTTTAGCAGGAATGTAAGATTACTATGTTTGGTTAAAGGAATAAAATATTATTGGAATGTATATTTGACCAAATTGTCCTTATTATATATTTGTATAATATTACAAACTGTAAAATATTTATATATTTTCTTTAAAAAATTAAATTTATAATATTTATATAATTTTTTACAAAATTAAAAATATAAAAAAGGTTTAATGAAAGGGTAAAAAAAATTTAACCCCTGAACTTCATATAAAATTTTAATTATAGACTTTTTTTTTGTAAATCTAAAATAATTTAAGGATAAATTTGTAATTTAACATTCGTAGAATTTTTATTATTCAATGACAGAAAAAATATATTTTTGAAAAAAAAATAAAAATTTAAGGGCATTTTAGTCCAAAACGCCGGTAATGTTACAATACCTAAGGGAAGGGAGGTAATGACATTCCCGGTAATATACCCAAAAAAATCTACTAATGGTAATAAAACATTACCGGGAATGAGATTCCTGGCCAACCAAACATAGGAATGTGGGATTCACATCCCATGGGAATCCCACAATCCTCGAACCAAACACCTAAGGATTGTGGGATTCTCATGCCATGTTTGGTTGGCCGAGAATCTCATTTCCGATAATGTTTTATTACCAATAGTAAATTTTTTTGGGTATATTACCGGGAATGTCATTACTTCCATTCCTTTAGGTATTGTAACATTACCGGCGTTTTTGACTCAAATGCCCTTAAATTTTTTATTTTTTTTCAAAAATATCATTCTTCTGTAATTGAATAATAAAAATTCTACGAAGGTTAAATTATAAATTTATCCTTAAATTATTTTAGATTTATAAAAAAAAATTTATAATTAAAATTTTATATAAAGTTCAGGGGTAAAATTTTTTTTACCATTTCATTAAATATTTTTTATATTTTTAATTTCGTAAAAAAATTATATAAATATTATGAATTTAATTTTTTAAAGAAAATATATAAATATTTTATAATTTGTAATATTATACAAATATATAATAAGGACAATTTGATCAAATATACATTCCAATAATCTTTTATTTCTTTAACTAAACACAATAATCTTACATTCCTGCTAAACCAATCAAACAAAAAATACAACATTCTCAGTAATTCTATTCCCTAGTAATCTTTTATTCCTACTGATAATCTTACATTCTGTAAACCAAACGTACCCTTACAAATATGTATAAACGAGGGAGTTAGTATGTGAAGCCATGCCTGAAAAAAAAAAGGTACTTGACAGTCTTGCACCGTATTTGCCTTTCGGTTCATGAGGTACGCCCCGCACGTACACGTACACCTTCGGCCCGCTAGCGTTTGCTTGTTATCATCGTATTTAATCAACTCTTAAATTAAATAGATTTGATTTATGTTTGAAATAGACTCAAATTTTTAAGGATCTAAAATAAAATGTTTTATATACTTCTTAAAAAAATCATTAGAAATTTAAAAAAAAAATAACATTTTAAAATTTTATTTTTTAAATTAAATTATCAATAATATTAATATGTATATATTGTGTTTTCGAAATAAAATATAAAATTTTTATGTATTTAAAGTTTAGATTCGAGTTTGAGTTTGATCTTCAATTAATTTAAGTCTTTAAATATTTTGAGTTCAAAATTTTCAAGCTGGAGTCATATTTTAGTTTTTTGATTTATTTTGAGTCGAGTTTAACAAATTTAAACTCATAAATTTTCGAGTCGAATCGAATTTCAATTTTTTTTCGAGTGCAAATTGAATATCATAGTATGAAACTCATAAAATTTTTAGTTAAATCAAGTTTAATTTGACACTTTTCAAGAAGTCAAAAATTTATAATATGGAAGCTCGATAATCCTAAAATACAATAAAGGGTTGTCCTTGGATACGTTTGGTTCACGAAATGTAAGATTACCAGTGAGAATAAAATATTACCAGATAATAGGATTACTGAGAATGTTGTATTTTGTGTTTTGTTGGTTTAGCAGGAATGTAAGATTACCGTGTTTGGTTAAAGGAATAAAATATTATTGGAATGTATATTTAACCAAATTGTCCTTATTATATATTTGTATAATATTACAAATTATAAAATTTTTATATATTTTCTTTAAAAATTAAATTCATAATATTTATATTAATTTTTTTACAAAATTAAAAATATAAAAAATGTTTAATGAAAGGATAAAAAAAATTTAACCCCTGAACTTCAAATAAAATTTTAATTATAGACTTTTTTTTGTAAATATAAAATAATTTAAGGATAAATTTGTAATTTAACTTTCGTAGAATTTTTATTATTCAATGACAGAAGAATAATATTTTTGAAAAAAAATAAAAATTTAAGGGCATTTTAGTCCAAAACATCGGTAATGTTACAACACCTAAGGGAAGGGAGGTAATGACATTCCTAGTAATATACCCAAAAAAATTTAATATAAGGCTAAATAAATGTGCTACCATAAATATTAATTTTTTTTAACATTTTCTTTAGAGCACTATCTAAAATGTCAATTTTTTACCGAAAATGTTAATTTTGGTATCTAAAATGAATATTTGTGATATTAACATTTCCAGTAGAAAAAATAACATTTTAGGTAGCATTTGATATTAATATTTTCTGTAAAAAAAATAACATTTTAAGTAGTGCTCTACCGGAAATGTTAAAAAAAATATTAATATTTCCTGTAGAGCATTTTTTAGCTTTATATTAGGTTGTCTTTCTTTAAACATCCCCTATCGACCATCACCGAACACCATCAACCCACTTCAATATTAAAATAATATTTGAAAAAAGTATTTTTATTTTTATTTTTTTACTTTACTTATAAAAACTAGTATTTTTACAAAAATCATATTAATAGTATGCTTTTTTTATCGGTTAAATAAACTTAACAAGAATTATAATGCGTATTAGTATAATATTCTCTTAGTCTCGTAATTTTTATTTTATGTTGATCAAACATATAATATTAAGAAATAAGTTTGATCACACATTAAGTTATATAAAATAATTTTTTTTAAATTATATAAACTGAGGGAAATGATAAAATTAACCTTAAAAGTTATTGATATATTTGACAGATTTATTTTGATATATGTAAAAAGAACGAGACAAATAAGAGTAAAGAAAAAAATATAAGAGTTACTATTTATTGAGTTTTCTAATAAGATGTTTTGACCGGGAAAAGCTTCAGCTTACTGAGGGAGACCGTCATTCACCTTTTAATGGTGGTCTAGAACAACCTCACACATCTCCTTCAATATGCACCTCTGCAAAAAAATATTGATAGTAATCTACTCCAAGATATTGGTACCGATATCCACCGGAGTAACATTCCGCTTGAGGAGCTGAATATGGATTTAGACAACTTATTGTCATCTTCAACTTCTGGTGTGTCTTTTTACGGAGAATCTATTTGGCTATGTAAAAGTCCGATCCGTAGTAGTCAGGTCTGCTCCACTGATCGCAATGTCATTGAAATAGAACATATGCGTGATTAATAGAACTTCTCATTTTTCCTGAAATACTGATATTCTGATAATTGTGTTACGCGTGTTTCTTAATTGAAATTCGTAGATATGATCTCAAAATATGCAAGATCTTGGAGTTTGTGAAGACACATTTTACCAAGATGATTTTAACATGCCTGATATTGGTTTATCTTTCCGCAACTTTGAAGACCTGTTTGGTGTTGATCAAGACCAAACCAGGGGATCGCTTGCTAATAAAGATGTCCCAAGTTCATCTATGAAGGAGATGACCATCAACAACTCGGATAATGTTAATGCACTATCAATGGAGGTTAGGTTCATGGCACTCTTCTTTTATCTTATGACTTTATAATACATATACGGATATATGATCTTCATGTCCATCATATGAATATAGAGATATGATCTTCAAAGGTTCTTCGAATCCGAAATTTGACCATACGCATGCAAGACAACATAGACACTCACCTTCTTGTCTGAGTAACATTGGATATTAAAATGGATTTCATCTAACCACATTTTATTCATAACTTCCAGGGAATCAACACTTCTGATTGCACAATTCAACCATCTTATTCCGTAATGTCGTCTGTTTCAAGGCTCAGTGCCGATACCGGCGCTCCTGACTTTCTTGATAATGGAGTTTCACCTATCACAGTTGGGGAAGCTTCATGCATTTCACCTGACTTAGATAACTTTCATTCAGACGCCAGAGAAAATGCCATGATGAGGTACAAAGAGAAGAAGAAAGCTCGACTGTGAGTATCAATTTTCACTTTTCTTGCAGATTTTATATGTTATTCGGATCCGGGTGTGATACAAGTATGCATTTGGAGTATCTTTGAGAGATACAAATGTCTTGGTGAACATGGAACATGAGCATTTAAAAGAAAAAATGTTGGAGCAACATAGCCTAAAGTAATCATGCTTGATACATATCATACATACATACATATATATATATATATGAGTATATGAAGATAGGAGTATGATCCTTCGTGTCTGTGAAAAGATTCGGAAAAAATATGAACATACTCATACTGAACATGTACCTATATCTGACATTTCTCTTTTATTATTGTTTCTTATAGTGTTTGAATGTTGTTCAGGCATGAAAGACGAATGAATTGTGCACCCCGGAAAGCTAAAGCCGATGTAGAGAAGAGTGTAAAAGGGCGAATTCTGACGACGGAGGACTATGATTCTGATCATCCAAATGTGACAAAGATCTATTAATCGTCTGCATATATATTATTACCAGTTCCTGATTCTGTAAGTATCACTTGTTACTCAATCTTCTATTTATAACTCAACCAATTCTTTCACCTCCGTCTCTTCATAATGTCAACCGTCCATATATGAAGAAACTAATTTTTTTATTATGGATATGGATTTAGATATTCAATGTATGAAATTAATCCGAAAAATAATATATATGATGAATTAAAATTTTAGTTAAACTACATTTATAATTATCTTATTATGAGTAGATTCTAATTTGATTACTAATCTTTTAATTTTATCAATTAGACTATTTAACTATTCAAATAGTCACATATCATTAACATTTAGTGGAGAAGTTGACGTGATATTTAACAGAATTACTATAATTATATATTTGCTTGTCATTACTTATACATTCTATTAATTTGATCTTAGTTTTAATTTAATTCAAAAATATAATCCTCCAGTTAGGTAGTGACATATGGCACGATCTATGTCAGATTGAAATAATTTTTTACTAATTTTTATTTATTTAATATAATATTTTTGTGTGCAACCGTCTGATTGTAGAGAAAATAAATTGAAAAATATCGAGGTTGAAAAGAAACAAACTTAGGTGCTTAAGAATAATGTAGGGTTATATATATATATATATATATAACATAGTTAATGATAAAAAAATATTAAAAATGGTTAAGTGAAGATTCAAATTTAGGTATTGAGATAGAGTTATTGCGTATGTAAACAAAAATTATTGGAAAATTTACCCTCCAAAATTAAGTATTCAACTTAAGTCAATTCAGATTAATCAGGACAAATTCTTAAAAACCGGAAAGACAACAAAAAAGATTTCAAATCTTGATCGATGGTGAGAAGACATTTAAACCACCGAAAAGAATCTGATCCTTTGTTTAAAAAGCTTAAACTCATTTTATTTTAAATCTTGCATTAATTTTAATTTAAAATAAATATAGAATGTACTTAAATATAAATAAAGTATTAAATTGGTTATCTATAAACCAAACATGTATATTTAAGTTATCTCCAATATAAATATAAAATAATTGGCCGGTTATCACACCTTAGTAACTTCCAAACAGCCGTGATGGCTTTTCGCGGTTATCTCTTCATTTTTTCTTCTTTTCTAGTTAATTATTATATAAATTTATTAGTTTTCAATTATATTTTAACATGTTTATAATGATGTTTTCTCTGACTCTTTTTCTGGTAAAAGTATCATGACTACCGATGCTCTTGAACTTTCGGTGCATGTTTTTTTTATTGGTCTTCTTCTAAGTTTTCTCCTCTATGTTTAATGCTTAAGGACGTTGGAGTGATCTGTTTTTGTACGTCATTGCCTCAATTGTTCACGCTTTTATTTATCAGGTTATCATTAGTCGATCACTGTTTTATTTTACTTATGATAGTCGTGATTGTATTTGTTTAGTATATATTTGACAAGACATTGTTAATGATGCTTTTGACAAATGAATAAATCATAGTCATACTTTAAAAAAATAAAGAAAGTTATATCCAATAAGATAGCGACACATATTATCATTAGATTAAAAAATTATTGTATTAAATGAATTAAAATTTAAAAAAACTCTAAATATATCATGCCACATGTCACTGGTGATACATGGTATCACATAATTGGATGATTATTAATTTCAAATTATTAAAATTAGAATCAAATTGATAGAATGTGTAAGTAATGAGGAATAAATACATAATTATACCAAATTTATTAACTAATAGATAGCTTGACTAACATCTTTTAAATAATTAAATGATCTGATTGACAAAATTAAAAGTCGACAATAACATTAGAATCCATCCATAATTAAGTGATATAAATATAGATTATCCCAAATTTTTCAATAATAAACACAAATTATTATCATTTTCCCCAATATTTGTCAAATACAAGTTAAATAATCGTGCAAACCAAGTGATCTCAAAGGTTAAAAGATTTGTTATTTTTCCTTGACGCCCTAAGTTCAAACATCGCATATATAAGAATATGAGCGTTCATTACCAAAGAATTGAAAAATATCTTTGAACAAATACAATATCATAGTCCTATTTTTTTAGGAAAAAATTAAATTATTATTTGGATAATATTTATTTTGATTATTATTTTCATAATATTTTAATTATTATTAATGATAATGGTCATTTAAATGATAACATTTTATCCATATAATTATCGATATTTAATTTATTATTCAATTAATTTAAAATTAATATTACATAGATATGTTATAAGATATATTTTTTTTAATTTATTTTGTCCACAACACCCAAACTTGAATTTTAAGATATCTAACTTTACTTTATTAAGTCAATTGATAATTAAAAATACGAAATTCAAATTACACCATAATTAGATCATAAACTCTAAATCCTAAATCTTAAAAAAAAAGATTAAAATCGCACATAAAAATCCCTTGAACACAATATCAGATATCATTAAAGAATCAAATTAATCATTCGACAAACAGCATTTTAAAAACTTCTCTTAAACAAACGAACAATTGCAACAAAATACTCACAGTTAGGCATGCTCATTCGCATGCCCTGTCTTCCTTAATTTGTTCAAAAATAAATAAATAGAACTATAACATGTTCTGCGACATGCAAACTCGGGCTGACTCGACTCAATACATTATTTTCCTTGTTGAGTCCAACATAATGAGCCAACCACTAACCTTATTGTATGCGACAAGTTGAAATAAAAATGCTCACAAAGCTAAAGTGGGAGCGATTTGGAAGTTGAGATTCCAAAGGTCGAAGTTCCCATTGACAAAATCATAGTGTGCGCCTTTCAACATAAGGGTTTTCTTCACCAATGCCTCTCTAACAAATGGATATGTCAATAGGTTCCCCAAAGATACATTCACTGCTTCCTGCATTTGGTTTAACAACACTAATATTACACACAATGATGAACCTATAAATTCAAAAATAGTCTAAAATTTTAATATTCCCTTTTCCGAAAAAAGAGTACGCAAATTTTCTTATATTCTTCTCCTCCCTTTACCACGTTAAACTGATTTTAACCATTTTTCCAAAATAATAGGTATGCACTTTGTCCCCTATAGGGCTTAATGCATCCACCCCTTATTACACATAATGTTTGATCCAGACATGCATATGATACGAATAAGACAAAATACAAATATGTTCTCGGTTGTAATGATAAGTAATAATGACGACATAAATCTCACCTTCTCGCAGTGCTCGCATAGTTCTTGGAAACTCATCTCATTGCATTCGGATTTCACCTTGGTCTTTGCAGCTAAGCAGATGCTAACCCAATCTTCTATAAAATCACTGCAATATTGAAAATTCAAACATAAATAACTTTTCATTTGTAGTGATATCAGTAGTAATATCGTATTGCAATTGCTTTTTTATATATGCTGATGTTTATAAACGTCTTACCTAGCAGTGGTTCCATCATCGGGGATAGACATGAGCCCTTTGATACCTCCACAGCAACTGTGCCCAATAACCACAATATTCTCCACCTGAACCAAGCATTAATTAATTCCTAAAATTATATTGTCATTCTTTTAAGAATCTATATTTGACATTTTTCTCCCCATACATGTTCAGATATGAATATGCAATATATTATTTTTTAAACAAATATACATACATTTATAATACATATATCCGACAATCCTTTCATCTAGGTTCAAATAGAAAATATATCAGTATTCAGACTTTGAAAAATATTTTGACTAGATATGGAGTTGCCCTCACTAAAGATGATGTTAGTATCAAGTACATTAAAAGAATAAATAATGGAAAATTATGCTTATAAAGTAAAACTATACAATTATTATATATTAATTCACCTTTAGATGCAGGACTGCATATTCAATAGCAGCACCAACTCCGGTGTATTTTTTCTACAGTGAACAACACAAATCAATAAAAAAAATCAACAAAACCAATGGATTAAATTTCAAAAAAATATATTTTAGCGGTGATTAAATAATTTTCAACCAGTGTGCACTAGTTAAATTAACCCATAATTATACTTCATTATCAACTGTTTTGAGTCAAATTCACAAAATTAGAAAATCAATAGTGTAGAATTAGGCTAACCTTGTCATAGGGCGGGACCATGCTGGCAATGTTTCGAACCATAAAAGCTTCCCCTGGTTGGAAATCCAGTATGTGGGACGGACACACCCGAGAGTCCGAGCATGCAAATACCATATACTGAAGGGGGGAAATGTTAATATTTCTTAATAATTGATAATATATTTATATCTTAGAGACATAAATACTTAAATTTAATTTTTTTAAAGAGAATAATATTATTTTTTACTACTTAAATTAATTGATGGTTAGTATAAAATATTTTTAAATATATTTATATCCAGCATTTATGATCAGATACTAATCAAATAACCCAAAGCGATTTTTTCACAAACATGTTGAGTGCACAAACAGACAAGAAAGAGCCTCATAGAACACACTCAGATTTCACTTTAATTTGTCAAACTCTTCTTTATCCGGAAAAGAAAGAGACAGATCACTCTTTTTATTTCCCTTTACCACCATTCCAAAAGTGCGCAAACTATAGCCACACACGGCACCATTCTGAGTTAGCATATTCTGGGTTCGAAACTTAATGCATTGTTGTACTTGAAAATGGAATAATTCCATTAACAAAGTACAAATCTAAGGTAAAAATAATATCTGATAGGATAGCGCAAAACACTGAAAATCAATTCAAATTGTGTGATATCGGGTATTTAATAAACCCAAATGGTCGAAAAATATAAACCAGAACGACGAAAAAATTATCCACGAACCTTCGGGCTTTGGCCTTTGGCAAGTGTACCGTACAGATCAGGATTTTTCCTGGGGAAATGTCAGCCAAACAGATTCATATTAAGCTAATTATAATTCATTTTCCAGAGAGAGAAAAAAAGACGAAGAAGAAAAGAGAGGAAAAAGGCAGGCAGCCATTTTCTCAATCCAACAACCTATTTTGCACCTTTTGGTGCACCTGCAACCACCGAACCATTTTTCCAGTACCTTTTCCAGATATACTTTCTTCATAATTATAATATTAAACATAAAAAGTATCACTCAAAAACAATAATATAGCATTATTCAAATATTAATATATCGTGGGCATGAATCAAACGATTTCGGTAATAAAAAATTATTGTTATTTTTTAAAATCTCGAGTTCAAACATCACGAATATTGGAAATATAACGTTCAGTATTAAATAATTAAAAATTATTTTTAAACGGATGTTATCATGTAGAACGATATTGAATATATATTAATATTAACAAAACTTATATATAAAACATGATGCGTACATAAAAATTAAAATAATATAAAGATCAGAATACATTTAAATATAATTTACTATACATATCGGTTTTTAGTTAATTTACTGATTTGTATTTATTTATAATATCACTACAAAAAGAACATGATAATTGATAAACACATTAACGAATTGAAAACAAGAATGGATTATGGAGGAAAAAGTCGCGTAACATTAAATACAAAGAGAAGAACCCAAAACTATACACCATATTCCACGGTTTGAGAGACAAATAGAAATTTCCTGTTTTCTTTTTTTTTCCCCATTAATTTTTTAAGTAAATAATGATAGCCATAACGTGATAATTTTTATAATTTTAGCTAATGAACGCATATTAATGTTTATTTATCCAGAATCGGTGTGAATGGATTATACACAGATAAACATAGCAGCAGCAAATTTATAAACGTACTCGAATTTTTCTGTCTTGAAATGATTGAAACCGGTTTTGATCCGGTTATCCGCGTCGGAACTCCCAGCTGCCTCTAAATCGGCCGTTATCTGCTTGATTTTCGCGGCGGCAACACTTCCGAGATCAGCTTTTTCACTGCAACCGAGGACGGTGCACGACGGATAAGGACGGTAATTATAGGTGAAATAACCGTCACGGGAAATGAAATCCTCGGCCCTTTTTCTGTTCGAACCAGAAAAACAAAGAATAGCACTGTAAAGTCTGTAATAGTACCTGAGAAGCTTGGACAAAGCTGCAATCGCCTCCTCGTACTCGCTTCCCATGTCTTCTTCCTTGAAAAACACAATAATAGTAATATAAAAAAATAACTAATCATCGTGATCAAAGCTCAAAAGAAAACGTAAAATAATTGCCGCAAATCCATTAATTACCTGGTAAGTTGATAGTTCACTCTTCTTCTTCTTTTGTTTGTTTTTGACGAAATCTGCATTAAACAGTTTATAACTTTCTGCTACAGATTTGCGCTCTATTTATAGTGATATATATTAATTACCTGGCCATATAAAATAGAATGTTGTTGAAGAAAATAAAAAGGGAAAGGATTTGTGATTTTTGAGCGGTGGACGCGTTTTGTCTTGCGCTTTATTTATGGTAAGGCCTGAAAAATATATTCTCCAGAAAATTGATTCTTCCGTTTAATTCTGGTTCAGTTTTTATTGTATTTGACTTAATTTTAATTTAATAATAATAGATATATATAGTGAATAACATTACTTGTATTTTCTTTTGATAAAACAACTAATTTTATTTAAAAAAATATTTAAAATTATGATGAGGATTTATAATTAGTATATTATTTTATAACAGTTAAGACAATAAACTAAGCACTTAAAATTATATAAGAACTATATAAGGAAAAGATAAAAATCTCGTCCAACAAAACTCGAACAATCGGTAGTTATGAACAGATCTGACTACTACGGCAAACGACCTACAATAAGGGATTTAACTACTAAAAAATCACTGACAAACGTAAATCAATGTCAAGCATCGTTAGAAAATGATCTACGAATTCATATTGCAAATCCAAATTCAATTCGAGTCCAAACAGGGAAAACCAACGAGATAACAAATGAGTGACATCTTGATCAGTTGTAGCAACGTCAAATCCAACCCTGAGAAAAATAAATGATAAGAACAACCAAACAATTGAAAAACATGTTATCATAAAGACAAAAAAATCATGTTACAAAAATCATGTTATTAAACAAAAGGAAAAAATAAAGATACAACATAAAAAACAAAGATTTTTTTTTAAAAAAGATCAACAACGATAATCCACGTTAAAACTCATATCGTCATCTCTAATTAAAGATGAAGAAAGGAACTACAACAATTTAGAGAAAACACTACAGTAAAATTATTCTTTAGCGGCGTTTTTTTAGTCCTATAGCGATGTTTAAAAACACCGCTAAAAGTACTTGTGGCGATAGGAAAAACGATTCGAAGAATTCTAGTTAAGTTGAGAAAAATCATGCAAATTGTTTCACTTGACGTGAAACAATGGAAGATTATGAATTTGAGTAGGACATATTACTTTACCATTAATAGCATTAATTGAGATCTATTGTTTTCAATTATTTGCTGGAAGTTATGGTATAATAGGATTAAAAGGAATTTTGACGAATATTTCATTAAAAATGGGGTGTTTTAAGAGCATTTTACAGTTATCAAAAAATATTTTTTAAGAAATGATCAAGGTCGGTTGATGTTTAACTCGTCTCAAAATAGTCATAATTATAATTTATTTATATGGGAAAGACCTCTAATAAATAAACAGGGATGCACATTTTCATATATCATATCAAATTTGATTCGAAAAAAAAGTGAATATCCTATTTTTCTAATGATAAAATAGTTGTTCATACTTAGACTGAAAATTTATATATTTAATTTAATATATAGTTGTTCAAATTAGTGGTAGTAAATTATTTATTTTAAATAAACCAATAATAATAACAATGAAGTAATCGTAATAGTAATAGTAAATAATAATGATAATGATATATGGTAATGAAAATAACAGTGGCGTTTACATTACCATCTCTCTTTCGGTTTAATGGTCTTCACTTATTTATTCCACCATGAGGATATGCAAAAGAAACAAATGAATTAATGCATACGAATTCATGAAATATTTCGAACTTGATTGACTTTGGGAGGAAGAAAGTGGTTTCTTGCGATGAAAGGTTTGTAGTTTTGTTTAGGAAAAAAGATGTTGGGACAAAAGATACAGTTCCTAGATGTTTTATAATAATAATAATAAGAAATACACAATGCAATAAATAAATGACGAAATTAAAGAAAAAAAAAAATAAACATGTTGAGGGTTCAAATTGAATTTAAAAAACTAAAATATGGAATTTCCAAACCATGGACTGCACATTGATTCTGTTATCAAAAAGGAGAACAATTAATGGAAAATAAATATCACGTATGTAAAAAGGAGCATGTGGAAATTTTGTTTGGAACCTAAAATAAAAAAAGGGAAAAGGTATCCATGCATTTAAAATTCAACTTTAGTAAGTATTGAATATAATAATATTAGGATGATGATATAATTACATGAATAAATATGATTAGTGGGCTAATCAGAACAAAAAAGGAAAAAGAATTAAACCCTAGTGCACATTCTCGACTTCTTAGTGTCTTCTATATGGAAACAGTAACCTTCCAAGCAAACTCAAAGCCCTAAGCTTTTTAGTATAATATTCTCTCAATTAACCATGGCGAAGATGTTAGCCCCAACACTTTGTATCCTCCTTTTGGCCATTATTTTGCTGAATTCCGATTCCACCTCAACGTTGCTAACCTCAATCTCCGACGACAATCAGCTTGCATTGTCTCATTCCGGACAAGAAACATTCTCGGTCGTCCCCACAACCAGCAGCAGATCACCACTTGCAGGGTACCAGCAGCTGTCTTCGGATTCCGACAAAGAATAGAAAGAGAAGGAAAAGGAAAAGAAGGAGAATAAAAAGGAGGATAGGAAGAAGAAAAAGAAAAAAAAAGGAAAAGGAAAAATCATTGGCGGCAAGTAATATCGAGCAATCAAATATAGTACTAATTTTTTGCATTATCTTTTTAGCATATTTCTTCTTCTTTTAGAACTGTAGCCATTGGGCATGCAAATATAGTGTTTTTTTAATAGATATTCTTGCAAATATAGTCACGGTTTAGATTTAGTTTGTTTGTTGTTATAAGATTTTAGTAGGATTTCCAAAATAGTTTGAGCAATAAATTCCGGGGTAAATTATGGTACCCGATTATAGGGTAATATTTTGTTGAGTCATCTGACTATTAAAAGTTATAAAATAGTTTTTCGACTATAAGATGTCGTTTTGTTAAGTACTTCGACTATTAGAAGTTATAAAATGGTCAACTGACTATTCATATGTTCCAAACTCGTCATTTTTCGTAAAAAAATTAACGATCGTATGAGCTAGAAATTAATTTGTTGGCAAGGATGTGATAAAATTTGATCACATAATCATTTGACTTGTATTTTATGGATTGATTCTCCGTTTACATTATATTGTCGAATCAATGCTTGAAAGATTATACCATCAAACTAGTGCTTGAAAGCAATAGCGATGCCAGTAGACATTATTAAAATATGATTTTATTATATCTCAGTCAGTATCTTAATGTTCAACTCAGACGACCATCTTTTTTTAACAAGAAATGATGAGTTTTTCCATTGCTAATTGTGACACCAATTAACTCCTAGTGAACTGAAAATATGTTTTCAATTCACACATTTCTCTTCCATTTTCCTCTTATGAAGACTGGAACATTGAATTATAGTTTTTGAACATCTTATATGTGGCAAGAACATTGGATTTCGAGAGAAATCCCGATCTCTCAAATGGCGTAAAATTTGGACAGAGCAATGCTCATGATTCCAACCAGTACAGTGAAGATATTACGAGGTTCAGGATGGCGGAATTCAGCAGTAAAAACAACTCAGAATCAGACATATACAGCAATGAACACAGTTCGAGGGAATTATCATACAGACTAAATTCCAGGAAGTCCCGGTACCATTCCGGAGAGTCAAGAATCAGCAAGTCTGAAACTCAAGGCTCTAAACCATCATCTACTGGCAGCTATAGTGGTGGCTTAGGGGACTCCGGTGATCATCGCTTCTGATAAATGCCGATTCCCTGAGCTTTTCACACATTTGGTAAATGTCTGTAAAAGTATTGATGCTTTCTTTAGTTCCCTTGAATCATGAAATTTTTAGTACAGGCTTGTAAAAAAGTAAGTGTTTATATAGGTAACTAACTGGAGAAGGTCTAACCAGTCTTGGCTGAAAAATCTCATGAAGAGTCTGATTCTATTGTTGAAACTAAGTTTCACTCAAAGTTTTTATAAATTTTCATTTTTCTTGAAACTATGCTACTTATGGATATCAAGCATAATTATCAGCTATAAATTAGAAAAGGAAGTTGACATGTAAAGAAAAAGAAACCAAAATGAAACTGAAACTTAAATCATCCTCATAGAATAAGCAATTTGTATGTAGAATTTGGTCAAAAACTGCGTGTAAGAAAAAACCCACTAAAGTTTTACAGTCAAAAGTAAATCATGATTGTTGGTGGATCTTGAAGTGAAGTATCCATTGAATGGAATAGTCCTCTTTGTCTCTCAGCTGAAAACTGTCCATTTTTACTGTACATTGCTTCAATCTCAAGTCTCAATCTACACTTTCTTTACCATATGTTGACCGGGAATCTGATTTATCGACTTTGCTAAGTTTGTCAACAAGTCTCTCAGTTTCCTGGATTGAAAATCCCTGTTTGCCTTTGCATAAGTCAAAACAGACGGTGTTAGCAGAAAAATATGACAGAATCTCAATAGTTAAACAAGAATTATAAGCAATCTTTGCAGTTATGGTGCTTCTACTCTTATTTGTGTCCGAAACTCGTGTCTAACACATTCTAGCACGAGTATAGTGAAATGATTCTCTAAGAACCTCTCCAAATACATGGAAAAAAACTCAGAAAAATTGAACATATCTATGTTGGATGTATATCAAGTCCTAGTATATGAACCATTCAGTGAGTCTTACCTCAACTTTGAAAATGCTGAGAACCTTTTGACTAAATGTTGTGACATTAGCATCAATCACTTGAAGCCCCAAAGAATCTATGCCTTCCATCAACTTTCCAAAGCTACCTCTCTTGTGCTCATAGTAGAGTTTAATCAAGAACTCTCTTTTTGTTATCTGATTCACTTCTACATGTACCTGAGAAAAAGTGAAGGGGATAAGAAGAAAAAACAGCAGCAAATCTCAAGAAACTAGGTGAAAACGAGTTTGAGAGTTGGAGCTCTAGAAAAAAACAGGGTTTAGAAACCACTAATTTTTCTTTATTGGCTGTAGATCTTATACAGCTTATTTTTAATAAACGTTCTTACAAAGTTACTTGTCTTGCAAGTAAAGTTTTATTCTTATCCTAGACCTAACCCTCAAGAAAACTAATACTCTAAGGTGTCCAAAATATCTAATGATGACTAAAATAAAACTGAAATAATAATAAAAATGTTTTAAAATAACGCCCCTGCTTCAAAAAGATTCAAGAACATAAGTTCAGTTGAAAGTTTCAATGATGGGAACTGTGACAGAAGTAACAACAAAAACCAGTGTTTAATTTTCCATTTCAGTTACCTCCATTTTCACCTGAGTTTGCTCCTTTTGCAGTTTTCTTCCTCGATTTCCATGAGCTCATTTTCAAGTTTCTTCTTCTCCTCCTGCAAATCTCCGATATATTCGACGGCATCCGTTAGATAGCAGGTTTATCCATCTGCAAATCGAAGACACCGATATCATAAGAGATGTCTAATAAGAAGGCAGAAGAGTGAAATGAGCTTTGTCATCATGAGTATATGTTCTGATAGTTCAGGCTAACCTTGGATATCTTAGGGACTAAAGCTCTTAGCTTGAGGAGCTGTTCATTTATCTTCTTCCTTCGGTTCCTCTCTATTACAAGATTCTTAGAATGGCATTTCTCTTTTTCTGGCAGCTCAGTAGTTCTCATTTTGTTGTTTACAGGCTTATTACGATTCGGAACAAGCCTTTCTTGTTGCAAAAACACATTTTTGCTGCATCGTTGTCTTTTCGTTCCACAATGTGTGCCGATTAGCTGCTTGAATTGCTCATCTTGAGAAATGCTGGCAGAATCTGAAGCAAAGGGTTGATGTTCAATCGAAGGACTGAAACCGCAGTACGATCCATCCAAGCTAGGATGGGAGCTTGAATCTGATATCGGCGGAATTGATTCTATTCTTGGAACAGAAGTCAACAAGCTAAGGGAAAGTGGCAAGTCATACCATTTGTAAAGATTTGCTCTTGTATAGTCTGCAGTTGTGACTACTGGTTTTAACACCGCGTTGCATTGAGATGCTACTAATTCTATGATGTTCTGTTCTTTCGGTATCTGAATCAAAATGGAAAATTAACATGTTTATCAGGAAAAGGGTAATGGATTGCAACGAAATCAATGATGTGAAATCTGAAAATTCCAATTTCATTGCAAAGTAATAGTAAGTGAAAAGGCAAAGGATCTTGCATGTTTCGAAGCAAAGAGCTCGATTAAACCACCGAAAACCGGGATCAGAACTCGGGTTCCTGTCATTTCCTGTCGAAAACACATTGAGTGTATCAAAATATAGAAACAGTTAGAAGCAAACATTCAGACAAATTACTCTCATTACATAAAAGTTACAATTCAGAAGATAGTCTTCACATCTGAATCAATAGCCTTTGGCTATGAACAAAGGGGCAGATCAAACATTCATAACCCTGGTATGGAGATCTGATCCTCCGTACACATGGATAAAACATAGGTTTAAACTACTGACCAAAAGAAAGTGAAAGGAGGGAAAACTACCCACATGTGAAGAATGTGAACCAGAGTCACTGCCATAGTTGATCCAAGTTGGCTGATTGGACATAGCAACCTCTCCATGAATCCTGTTTTTTATGGTTTTTTTCAATAAATTAGAATACTTGTCTCTATTTTCTCGAATTTCGAAACCCGAAAGCGAAACATTTCTATAAGTTGAGAGAATAATGTACCCAGCATAGAGAGAAATGACAAAAGGAAAACGTGAAAGAGCTTCACAAGCCTTTGATCTTATGGGGTGCTGAAAATGAACATCCCTGCAAAAGGGACCCAATGGCTTCTGCAACTCATCTTTCTCCTCTTTGACATTGAAACAAGCACCACAACAACAGTCTTTCCATTCAACAAACCTTCGAAAAGAAACAAAAAAAATGCTTAATTTGAGTTCAAATGAACCTAAAAAAAGAAGAAGAGAGAATGAAAAAACAATATTGTTTATGGTGATCAATGGTGTGTACCTTGAAGGATCATCACCCAATTTCCAAACAACACAAAAGTCCCAACCTTTACCATCCACAAATGGTCTAAGCCACTTCACTGCTCCATCAAAACCTCTCATTGTCTTTGTCACCTCTGCAAAAAACAACCAAAGAAATTACTGGAAAAAAAAAAAACCTTTGACCTTCTCACTATAAATAAACCAATCACAAGAGTATGAGAAACAAAAATGGTGAATTCTTTTTTAAGGCTCAAGGGCAATGCTTTTTTTGTTAGTAGTGGACAAAGGGCAACCAACTAATAGTGGGTACTGTTCAGGAATCATCTGAAGTTGGGTACAAAATCTGTGACAGAGAGGCATCTGATGCCTGCAGCCCTGCAGTAGCAGTAGTGGCAGAGGTGGTTTTTTCTTCTTCTTTCACTTTACTCCTTTTTCGAAAATTACCGGACTTTATAAAAAAAAATGGTAAACTACATATTTAGTCATCTAATTCTATTTTATTTATCTAATTATTTTTAAAAAAGATATATATCTATTATTACGTTTTAATTTTATTTTGATTATCTGTCAATAAAATATTAACAAAATTGTTAACGTAATTTTTTTAAATTTTTTCAATAATAATGTAGTATTACCTTATGATGATATGTCATTATCATTATTAATATTTTTAACGATAGACGATCAAAATTAACCCAAAATATAATATTAAATGTGATTTTTTTTAAAATAATTTAATTATCAAAATATTAATATTCGAATAGCTGAATGACTAAATAATTAATTTTATCTAAAAGCAACCTATCCATTGATTAGAAAGCACCTTGTGACAGCTACCTGTAACTGCATAAACCCATCATCATCTCATGTAGTACGCGGTTTGATACGATCATGCGATATTTATTTCACAATAATAAAATAATTAAAACAACGAAACATGGTATATTGATATGATACAATAACCATATGAATATAATATCAAAGGATAAATATTAAAACTTCTCGAGATGAAGAAGCAATCAACAATGTTAAAGACGTGACCTTTTAATCACTTTTATCATTAATATCATTTATTAATTGAGATGAGTTTTTTTTTTTAAATATTATTGTAACTAAATCATTAATCATTAAATAAATCATGACTTTGGTTGATATAATATTTTTATTTTTTCAATTTATACATTTTATTAATTTTAATTTAATTTAAAATAATTTAATTAATCTAATTATTTATGTATATATTTATTTAATTAATTAAGTTAAAGGTGATTACAAAGTAATATATTCTAATACTTTCAACCATTTAACAATGAACGTTCAATCATCATTGCAGTTATTGGTGCTCGAACCCATTACCTCTAAGAACAACAACAGTTCCTTTAACGACTGAAGTAAATTAGTTCGTGCATCTAATCATTTATATATAAAAATCTATAGTTTTAATCTTTGTTATTCCCAAATATTATACCATTTTTCTATTACTTTATTGCTATAATAATATTTTTAGTAATTTGTTAAACCAAATATTTTACAGGAGTTAAATTTAAAAAAAAACTTTAGAATCAAATATCTATATAATTTTTATTTATTTTTAAATAAAATTATATGCCACACCATATATTAGATTGAAATTTTTGTATAATTAGATTTTATGTTCAAGTACAACAACAACAAAACTCTATTCTCATATGTAATGGGGTTAGGGGGAGATAGGATAGTAGGCTGTCCCCAACGCCAGGTTGAGAGCAGCTTCCGTGGAAGACCTCCGGCAGTCAGAAAAAGTTAAAAATAAAGATAAAATACAATGCATGTATAAATAAATAAATAAATAAATACATAGTTGAACAGTCTTCATATGCGCATCTGTAATGGGAAGTTATCCCTGCAAATAAATCTCTGCGTACAAATCTCTGCATATAGACAAAAAACGTAAGTCCCAAATAAATTTAAAAGAAGAAACATGAGAAGGATATACATAAGTCAGTGGTTGCAAGCTACAATAAAAGAATAATGTCAAATGGGTTAAAACCTAAACTAATACAACACTACTCCGCTATCCTAGTTCTAATTCTTCAAAAATTCCCATGACAGAAACGTATTAAAAGTAGAAGTCAAGGAAATTACTATAAAGGCATTAAAAAGAAGGCAAAGATACTACATCCTATGGCTGTGACCCACACTACTCTGCTACCCTGGTCTTAAGTCTCCATACTTTCATCAGAGGTCGTCCTCGATAAGGGCTAAATCCTTTAAATCAGATCTCAAGCAGTCTACCCACTTCCTCCTTGGTCGTCCTCTCATTCTGGCACCGTCGACTATAACCGACTCTACCCTTCTGACTGCATCCGACTGTTGTCTCCTAAGGACATGCCCAAACCACCGTAGTCTTCCCTGCCTCAATTTTTCGGATACATGCATCACCCCCAAGGACATCCTAATTGTAGAGTTTGGAGTCATTTCCCACAGAGTCTTACCACATGTCCATCGAAGCATTCTCATTTCTGCGGCCTCCATCCTCCTTACGTTATCCTTCTTGATTGCCCAACATTCTGATCCATACATCAGCGCTGGTCTTATTGCAACTCTATAAAATTTTCCCTTAAGTTTTAGAGGCACCTTCTTGTCACACAAAACTCTTGTAGCTGCCCTCCACTTTAGCCATCTCGCCTTTATACGGTGCGTTACATCATCATCTACACCCTCATCTTATGTATCATAGACCCTAGATACTTGAAACAATCCTTAGAGGGGAGAATATGTCATTCGATGCATACATCCACAACTTCATCGTTTTGGTTCCCACTGAAGTTTGAACATAAATACTCTGTCTTTTCAATATTGATCCTTAGACCTTTTTCTTCCAAAGCTTTCTTCCAGTTATCCAGTCTACTATTCAGCTCAGTTTTTGTTTCAGCAACTAGGACAATGTCGTCAGCGAAAAGATACACCATGGAACACCGTCTGGTGTCGCACAATAGATGTCGTCCATAATCAAGGCGAAGATGTAAGGGCTAAGAGCCGACCCCTGATGGAGTCCAATTTCTACTGGGAAAGCCTATGTGTCCCCAACTGTAGTCCTGACATATGTAGTAGATCGACAGTACATATCACGAATCTCCCGGATATAAGCAGTTGAAATCCGTCTCGTTTCCAAGGTCTTCCAGATCGTATTGCGGGGAACGCTATCATACGCCTTCTCAAGGTCAATGAGCGCCATGTGAAGATCTCTATTTTTTCCCTATATTTCTCCATAAGCCGTCGAAGTAGATGAATCGCCTCCGTAGTAGGCCTACTTGGCATAAAGCCAAATTGGTTTTTCGAAACCGTAGTAACCTATCTCAACCTAGCCTCTATCACCCTTTCCCATAGCTTCATGGTATGACTGAGTAGTTTAATACCTCTATAATTACCACAACGTTGGGGATATCATTTATTCTTATAGATTGGTATCACCGTAGACTCTCTCCACTCCTCTGACATCTTGGCAGTCTCTAAAATAATATTAAAGATGTTGATCAACCACTTTACTCCCTCTTCTCCTAGGGCCAGCCACACAGTGATAGGAATTTGATATGGACCAACAGCTTTGTCTCTCCCCATCTTTCTAAGAGCCATTTTGACTTCCTCACTCCCAACCGTACAAGTATGGAAGTCATTGGTCGTAGTATGATGATCGACTGACCCATCAACGGTACTATCTCTATAGGGAGAGGCACCGTCATTAAATAAGCCATAGAAGTAACTACTCTAAACCCTCTTTATATCATGATCTTTCACTAAAAGAACACCATTGTTGTCCTAAAAAAACCTAATGCTACGTAGATCATTTTTCTTATTCTCCTTGGATTTTGCAAGCCTGAAGATGTGGTTTTGTCCTTCCTTGGTATCTAATCTCTTGTACATTTCCTCGTATGCCTTATCATTTGCTTTAGCCACTATTTTCTTGGCTTACCGCTTTGCCTCCTTGTAACTTTGTTTAGCTCTCGATCTTTCTTCGTCGTCATTGCATTGTAGAATCTCCTTGAAGCATTTTGCTTTGTCTTCACCTTAGTTTGGACTTCGTCGTTTCACCACCACGATTCTTTATATTCCTTGGCCTTCCCTGTCGACAACCCAAAGGTGTTTTTGCCCACTTCTCTATGGCATATGCCATATTTTTCCATAACATATCTATATTTTTCGAGTATGTAGTTCCAAAACCTGTGTGAGACACAACCTTACTCCTAAAGTCATCAGCTTTCGCTCCATGCAAGTTCTTCCAAAGGATCCTAGGTTTACCTAGTTTAGCCCTCCTATGAGTTCTCTGCCCGTGGCGTACGCGGAACACCAAAACCAACAATCTGTGTTGTGATGCACATGCCTCATCAGGGAACACCTTACAGTCAATGCAAGCCCATCGATCCCGATTTCGAACCAGGATGTAGTCGATTTGGGTACAATGTCCCCCGCTATGGAACGTAATCAAGTTTACATCTCTCTTGTTAAAGAAGGATTAGTGACCACCATATCGTGAGCAGTATCAAATTCAAGCAACGTACGCCCCTCCTCGTTCCTACTACCAAAACGAAACCCCCATGAACACCGTCATACCCGTCGATTGCACTACCTATATGGCCATTGAAGTCTCCCCCTATGAAACTCTTTGGTTCTCCGGAATACTCCTAAGTACATCATCTAACGAATCCCAGAAGCAACGTTTCTCCCCCTCACTTAGGCCAACGTGGGACGTACACCGAAAGGACATTCACCACTTCCTCTTCTATAATGTCCTTAATCATCATGATCCTATCCCAGTATCTGCAAACTTCAACAACATTATCCTTGAGTCTAGAGGAAACCAAGATACTCACCCCATTTCTAGCGTTATCTACGCCTGAGTACCACAACTTGTACCCGTTACACTCTCTGGCACGAGCCCATTTCCACCTAGTCTCTTGAATACATGCAAAATCTCTTTCCCATTACTTAGTACGTCGGTCTGCTCCAACAGCCTAGCATTTAATGTGCCTACACAAACTCTAAGTCTAGTCTCATTGGCACCACTCTGTCGAGTATGCCCCCTATACGCCCTATAGGATCTAAAAGAAGGATATGACCTTAAGTAATCATCTGTATCCGAAGCTATGATGAACTATGAAAAATGAATCCAAAGAAGACAAAAGCTGACACCAAATAAAACGCTATAGAAATGAGGGTACTAAAAAGCTAGTTGGTTACTTAATAGGATTTTAATTTATAAAATACTATTGTAAAAGTAATTTGGTTAATAAAGATAATAAGTAAGTTTATTAACAATTATAAGATAAATTACAAAGAACACTATAATACCCCTAAAAAGATTTTTAATTTAATATCAAGTAATATAATTATGATTATAGCATAACACGTTTAAATATCTGGCCGACCACTATATGTATCTGGTCGGTAAGTAGGAAGTAGCTGCTATTTTTCGACAGAATTGTTTTCCGGCGAAGGTTCCGCTCCGGTAGGACACTTCACGCTTAACACTGACGGGGATTGCAACAAAATTGTATGGGCCACCGCAGCAGGATGGCTTTGCAAAATATTGTGAATGAATGCAAAGAGCTTAATCTCAGATCTCTTCTGTCATTTGTGTACCTGAAATAGCTCGGAATTTGTTGTGCGAAATATATTGATGCTTTGTGAATCTGGGTTTTCCCCCCCGAGATAATTACCCGAAAAATTCAAATGTTAAACAGGGGAAAGAAATATATTCTAGAGAAAAGAAAATCTCTGGGGATAACTTAATAAAGAAAATAAGGAAAAATGAATTCCTGCTAAAATAGTTAATGCAAAACAAAAAACAGGGAAATGAAAACTGAAATTTAAAGAATCATATGAGAAAGAGATATAAATTGGCATATCTTTGAAAGAAGCTACGGTACAGCTAAGAGCTACACAAAATGAACAGATCTTGGAACTCTCTAAAAGATGTGTAAAAGAAAAGCTGAACCACCAAGACGAGGAACGGCCGTGAGAGATCAACACTACAGAGATCTGGTGTGAGTGAAGATACGTGCCGTTATGAACAGAAGATGTTCTTAAAGTTGCAACTTGCAACTGCTAGAAAGAAAAGCAATAATGATGTATGTATTTGGGGAAAAATTTAAAGGACGAGAGACGCACTTCTAGTTTCTTAATTCTTCCTACGTTCATGTCACGTGTTCGGTGTTCCTCTTTTGATTCTTTTTATGTTCAAGTACGTGGGATATAAATAATTAATTAAAATTTTAAATTTAAATCAGAGTAAATAATTTATTTTTAATACTATTTTATATTAAAACATTTTATGAAATATTATAATTTAATCACCCATTTAAAATATTATTATAGATAAGTCTTAAATAATTAAGGATTATATAAAATAGTAATGTGATTCGATAATAACGGTTTTAGTCTTTAAAACTTATACATTCTTATTAATTTTGTCACAATTTGAATTATTTCAATGAATTTTATCCTTCATTTTTAAAATTCTATCATTTTAGTCTTTTTTTCTAAGGAATCTATCATTTTAGTCTTTGTTTGTCTCTTAAAGTGTTTGTTCTTTTTTCTGGTAAATTATAGTTTCATAGTAACTAATTGTTACTTTATGACAAAATACAATTATCCATTAGTTGCTTTGATATGATAGATTTCTTGGTTTGACGGTATCTCAAAAAGACTAAATTGATAAAAATAAATAAATATTAAGAGTTAAATTTAAATCAATTTAATTTGAGTTATATTTTACCCTAGAAGCATCAAGTTATATATGAAGAGAATATAATAAGAATTAGTGCTATATTTTTTGATATAATATTTTTATTAAATTTAAGGTAATTATAAAATAATATATATTTTAAATATTTAAAAATAAACGTTCAATCATCATTGCACCGTTGTGCTTAAACTCATCATTTCTAATAAAAATAATAATTTATTTAATTACTAAAGTAAATTAGTTAATATTTTCTGATACATCATTTAAATACAAAAATAACACATTTTTTTATACAAATAAACTTTAATCCCTTCTGATTTGTCTGGAAAGGAATAAAGCACGTTTGCAAATTCGAATGCATCCAAATAAAAATCGAGAAGAAGAAAATCGACATTTGTTACTCGTTTTCACCATATTTTTGGTGGGTCTCAAATAGTAATAATTACTTTAGGTTCAGCTTTTTATATCTATTTTCAGGAAGTTTCCTTTGGTTGAATGGTTGATGACTTTGTTATTTTCCAAAGACCAAGTTCGTTGCCGCCCTTGGAATTGTGTGTTTCATGTGCTTCATCTCTTTTGCCGCCTAACTTCTAGACTTCAATGGAAAAAAAGCCATCCCCTTTCTATTTCCCATTGCCAATTTGCTGAATTTTAAACTCTGGGTTTTGTTTCTTTTCACGTGGAATCTCAACTGGAATGAATACTCTTGTCCCCAGATTCATACTGTAAGTTGAACCCTTTTTCTCTGATTATTTTTCTTAATTTTTCATCGCAAAAAGCTGTTTGATTTCTGTTGGGATGTTCGTTTTTAGTTTCTGTTTCTAGGTTTTCTTGTCTCTGCCTCTTATCATTTGATTATAACGTTTTGGGTTTCATTTGGGAATTCGGATTTTAGACTGGTGTAAAATTCGATGATAGAAAAGATATCAATGTAATTTGTGGATTTCTTGGATTTCTATTTAGGGGTGAATTTGAAATTCATGCAGATATTAATGTTTTTGAATTTCATATATATTTTTTAAATTTATATAACAAATTAAATTCGCATTTAAATATTCGAATTCATGTTTCGAAACATAGTATTGATGAATTGTGATGTCGATTGATCTGTCTTGAAGGAAAATCTTGAATTTCGATTTATGTGGCATTTCTTTAGGGATTAGCTTGGTTTGATTAATTGTTTCAGATGTTGATCTTTGGCGATTATTGTTAGTTTAATCTGATTGTAGGAGTTTTTCCAACGTTTCCAAGTAAAAATTTACTTCTTTTAAAAGATATATTGTTATGACTCATCATTCTTCTTGAAGAATCCATGTTTTACCCCCAAATTTGATACATATTTAGGGAATGGTAGGGTATATGAACCTCTTTAGACCTTCCAACTACGTGAAAATCTTGAAAAAATATCGAACATATCTGTATTCGGTATAGACTCATGTCCAACACTCGAACCGAATCTCAGTAATATACTAATAGATGAAATTGAATATACAAACCGGAATATGATTTCTTACTCTTGCCTATGTTCCAAGGTACTAAGTTACAGATACAACAGATATTCCTAAAGAGTGTATAATTGTTGTGTGTGGTTTACTAGTTTAACTAAGGGTCCGTTTCATCTTGTCTTTTGTACGTAGGATCTACTTTGTTTTGACTCTTCACTTTTCTTGAGGTACTTGTTTCTGATATCTATGTTGGGCACATTTTCGAAAGATTATTATGATTATATGATCCTCCAAAGACACTTCAAAGTTACGGAAAAGTTTAGAAGGAAAAAAATGAATATACCCGTGTTTAGGACTCACTCATATTCATCACTTGCACTTAAGTCCAAGTAACATAACATAGGCTGACAAATTTGCATTTAAACTTGATAAATAAGCTATTGTTTTTTATATATCTTTCATTTGTACTTCAAAGCTATACAGATTTTTGCATCTAACATTTAAAATGCAACATAGTCAAGAAATTGATACTTAATTGCCTATGCCACTCTATCTCGGTTGTGAGTATCAGATTACAGAAGTGTGTTCAATTTTTTTTATTTTTTATTTTTTTGTTTGGTGGCCATATTTGATGTCTCCATATCCATATCTGAACATGTGTCAGATACGGGCATTTAAGAAAAATGAAAAGCCAGAGCAATATAACTAAGAGCTATAGTAGTTATCAAATTATCCTGCTGTCAAGCAAAGACGAAAGTTTTCCACTATCGCTGATCATCCAAAATTTCAGAAATTTTGGAAGGATAAGAACACCTATGTTAATTGGTAATGGATTAACACATGTTTATATTCATCTTTCACAGGTGAGAATGGAAGGGAAAAATATAAGCATAGATATTCCCAGGAATGGAAAATCCAAGGTTCTTGATCCAGTGTTTTCTGCCTTTCTTGTTCAACTTCCTCACAAACTTCAGAACTGTCTTAAGGTTAGCTATAGCTCTTACCTCGCACGAAATTTATTTAATGGATGTAATGTTCATAGATTCTTTTTTTTTTCTTTTGTTACAGTCACAACTCAAGAGATTAGCCAAAGATGGTGACAGAATAAAATCAGTGAACTCTTTTCTTGAGAAGAACCGTTCATCTGCCGGATTGCGGATGGATCGGGAGAAACAATTGCAAGCTTGGAGAGAAAATCCTTCATGGGTCAGTCCACCTCCAGAAATAGAGGTAAAGAGGTATTGGGAATTTTATTGTTTTATTCTCCAGAATGGTGCCAGTTTCATCCTTTGTCTTAAACATGGTGTCATTCATAGACTAAGGATTTTAGCATTAGGTCGGTCTAGAGCATGACATTTATGTTGCTTTGACTCTTCATTTTTCGTGATGCACTTGTGTCTAACATTCATATTCGGTGCTTATCCCAGACATAGATATTGGATATGATCCTCCAAAAACTAAATATGTGGAAATTTTGAAAAAATGGAACATACTCATGTCAGACACATACCCGTGTCTAACACTCAGATCTGAGTTATGAGTACCAAAGCATGACACTTCTGTAGTACCATATCGTTCATATAGATGACATTTAAGAAAAAACTTCACTTTTATAATGAAAGATAATTATAAATCTGATGTTTGCACCACATTTCTGTCATTTTACTTTCTTGATTACCTCATCCGATCTTTTGTCCTAATGATCTATCGGTTTGCAAGGTACTAGAAATCTAACGTTATTTTTGGCAGGTCAGTGTAGTGAAAGGCTCTCTTTGCCACCTTAAGGCAGCAGTTGATGTTGGTTTTCCCCCAGATGCAGTGTATAACATTGTCACTGATCCTGATAACAGGAGAGTTTTCAAAAACGTTAAGGTGAGTGTTACATTTTCACCCACAATAATTAATCTGAAGTTTTTTATTACAGTACAATTACCCTATGTTGATCCGGCTCTTCACTTATTTTAAAGTACCGTGTTTGACATGGTTTTGGACTTGGTTATGAGGATTTGGTCTCAAAGGACCCTCCAAACGCATGAAAGAATTCGGAACACACACTCAAGTCTGAGTAACATAGAAACTACCCATATGAGGGAATGGCGGTTTTAGAAATTTCCTGTTTTTATTTTAATGAACTGATAATTTGATTCAGGAAGTGGTATCAAGAAAGGTTTTGATTGATGAAGGTCAAAGACAATTGGTCGAAGTTGAACAATCAGCCGCGTGGAGATTCCTTTTGTGGTCGGGAACCATCTCAGTTCATGTTCTAGTGGATCAAAACAGAGAAGATTACTCGGTATGGAACCCTCCCTTCCCCCTTCCCCCTTCCCCGATTACTTTCTTTTATAGATTCCACAAGAGATCCTTGGCCGTAAGGAATTCGGTTTTTGAGGAGCTGAGTTTGTAGTTTGAGCCCATGTTACTCCGACTTCTCATTTTTCTTGAAGCACCTGAGTCTAACGCTAAGTGCCTGGCACATATTTGGAATGATTATGGAGATATGATTTTCCAAGAATCTCTAAATTCATCGAAAACCTATATCCGACTGAATACCGGAGTCTGAGTTTTATAAGTTTTGCTTGATTGCTTTTTCTTAAACTTTCTTGTTCGGATTACTTGTCACATAAGTTGTTTGCAAAATGATTGTGCATGGTCTAAACTCTTAATTCTAATGATCATGGTTAACAGATGAGATTCAAACAATTGAGCAACGGATTCATGAAAAAGTTTGAAGGTTACTGGCGGGTTGAACCGCTTTTTGTCGATGAGGAAACTTGTTTTCCTTTCAAACCGAAAACATGGGCAGAGTATTGTTCATGTACTGGAGGTAAAGGAAGGATTGGATCAAAGGTGAGCTTAGACCAACTGATTCAACCAGCCATCGCACCTCCCCCACCCATTTCTTGGTACCTAAGCGGAATACCTGCAAAAACCACAGAGATGCTGATAAATGATCTACTTGCCGAAGCCGACAGAATCAAGGACAGCCGTGACTCGGAAATTTTGGACAAGGAGCTTGGGTTATCAGAGAGAATAAATGAACATTGTTACCAACTCGATCAATTCTGTGATATTAAAGAAAGATGGAAGCCGCACCAGAGAAATCGGAAGCTACTACGGCGTCGCAAGAAGCTGCTGACGGATGAATCCTCGAGTTTTTAATTTGTTCGAATTCATCTGTATGTTGTTGCATCAATATTTTTATGTGAAATTTGCTCAACGTCTTTGTAACAATATCTCCATTTGAAAGTCTCTCGGATTTTTGGGCAGTCTTCCAATCATTTTTCTTCCGCTCTTGCTTCTCGCCGGTGATTACATGGTGGATCTGAACTTCTATTAGTTCGGACTTGTTCAGGTTCAATTTTGGGATCAAACTCAAATTCGAGTTCATTTTTGGACAAATGAAATCATATTTGTATAATATAAATGTTTACAATTATATCTTAATATTAATTATTACTTTATGATTATTTTTAACTCAACTTTTGTTTAAAGTTGTATAATAATGTTAATTACATTTTTTTAATCAAAATTATTACTTATTCTTGCTAATACAAGTTTAGGAACTTAGTTTTCTATTCAGTAACAAAAATATATATTTGAAATAATTAATAAATAAAATAAAATAAAATAATCTGTACTAAATACTTTTAGATTCTAAACCTAGTGACGTTTCATTTTGAAATCATATCTGTACAATATAAAAATAAATTGTTGGGGCCAATCATATGAAAAATGGAGATAAGGACAGTAATGATAAATACATATAAAAAAGGTCAAAAAGACTTGGATAATATTCACCCCTGCATCCACTACTAGAGATAGAATCCCACAAACACCACCAAGTACCAACCAAATTCAGGCATTCTTTTCTTTTTCTGGGGCCAACGCATGGAGCTCCGTTGAGCTTTCCAAGACAAACTTTTGGGTCCAATGGAGGTTCAGACTTGGAGGGCTCTGTCTCAAGAGACAGTTCAGATGGGAAAGCAAACTCCAGCGGTAGTGACACTGAAGATAAGCTACAAAAAGCCGGTGATAATGGTAATGAGAAAGAGGATGATGATGATTATGGTAGCGGAACAGATGGGAAGATATTTTTGCATTCTCTAGTTCTTCTTTCTTATCAGTTTTTGTCTATAACAAGTTGCAACCAAAGTTAGGCAACTCAAGTACGGGAATGCATGTTAAAAGTAAGACGCAATCATCACTGATCAATCAAAATGAGCATTAGGTGGAAGATAAGTTATTCACAAATGTTCACCCCCACAACTCTGATATTTGGTCTTCTACTTGACTACTTCTTGTCATTTCATAATGCTTAGTGATAGATCAAATTTTAAATTCGGGTAAACTACGTACTTAATTTTTTTTATAATTTAGTTTTGATCATTCAATTTAAAAAAAGTACACATAAATTTATATTTTGACTTTGCTTTGATAATTTAATGTTAAAAAATTAATGATGATGTTGACGTACCACCCTAATATAATATTATATTATCGTTGAAAAAATTAAAAAATTATCACATCAATAATATTATTTTTTCAACGATAGATGATCAAAATATAAATTTAAACATAATTTTAAAAATAACTACAATTAAAATAAAATCATAAAAATAATTGAATCACTAAATGATGTAGTTTACCCTTTAAATTATTAGGACGCTTCCTGAAATCTCCTAACAAGAACTGAAATCTATCAGGCAGTCAACGACTCGTTGTGGCGATAGAAATTAACAATATTAGTAGTGCACTAAAAATTCAATAATGAAGTAAAATTTATGGAAGTAGTACGTTGTTGTTGGGAGTTAAGGCGGTTGGGAAACGTGTCATTCTTTTAAAGGATACTTCTTTACCATCTTTCAACCACACCCACCGTCTCTTCCTCAAACTGTCCCTGCCAATTTTTTTACCGGTTTCGGCGTTTCGCCTTTACACTCCACCGACCCTCCAACCAAATCATATTTATCGGCTTTCTTCCCCCCAATCCCAGAAACAACGAATTGAAGAAACCCGAATCCATAAGGTAAACTCTACTCATTCTCTTCTTTTTTCTCTTATAACTACGATTACAAAGAACAAGCTTTTGTTTGTTCTAGTTTCAGCCCGGAGTCTCTTGTTCGATCAACTTCTCACTTTGCTTATTCGTAAGCTCTATGAACCTTAAAACCCATCTTTCTTTTTCAGAGATATCGACCTTTCTTCCTTCCATTTCCTTTTTCTTCCATTCTTTTTAAGTGGCCTTAGTTTTCTTGGAAGAAACCTTTATTTTTTTTAATCATTATATGTTTATGTTTAGTTTTCTAGTCTTGCTTCCTTCGACTTTTAGTTCTACTTGGTTCTAGAATTTTTATTTTTTTCTGATTTTCTATTAAATGGAGTTCCAGCTATGAAGTTGTGTATAGCTCATTTCTTCTTAAAGAAATTACTCTTTGTTTTTGTTTGCAGCTTATTATGATTCCAGTGGCTTTCAATTTTGATTGATTTTTAAGAATTACCCTTTTGGGGTTTTTATGCTTGGTAGTTAGTTAAGTTGAATTATTGTTCATTTATTGACTTACCATTGTCCATTGAATGTTAATCAAGAAAATATGAGTTTCAATGGACCAAGTAGGGAGTTATTTATTGATATGTTACTCCAACTCTTCTGTTTTCTTACACCTATATATCCCACACATATGTCGGAATAACATCGCACCTATGTCGGAATAACATAGATTTCTTGAGTTTCTTTACAGAAACTTCAAAGATAATTGGCAGCACAACATGACTGCCGATACCACAACCTTGAGCTACTGGTTGAACTGGAGATTTGCAGCCTGTGCATTGCTCGTCTTAGCCTCAATGGTTGTGTCAGCTATTATAATCTGGAAGAACGAAGGCAGGAGAAGATCGGAACGTCAAAGGAGAGAAAATCAAAAGGAACCTACGGGGTTATTATACGAGGATGAAACCTGGAATACGTGTCTTGAAACCATTCACCCTGCTTGGCTGCTTGGTTTTAGAGTATTTGCTTTCTTCATGCTTTTGGCATTACTATTTACCAATGTTGTCATCGATGGAGGTGGCATATTTTACTTTTATACTCAGTGAGTGACACATCTATTAAGCTTTCCATTTTTGGTTATATTGAAGGTGGTTTACTTGATTTAATGAATTTGAATAGCATTTCTACAACTTGGCGTACTTGGACACAGGTGCCTGTTTCTGGTATGGGTATGTCATATGTGCTAGACCCGGTTTGATTAGGTTTTTTTAGTGTTGTTTAATATATTTGGAGGATCTTTAAGATCATATTCCCACATGTATGTATCAAACATGTGTAGGACACGAGTGTTGGACACGGATACTTCTATAAAAATCATGAGTCAGAGCACCATAGTTGCTCTTGCATCGCATATTCTGCATTGATTCTAGTTTACCATGTTTGTTGCGGACGATAATACTTGTTTAAATTTCATCTTTGTTCCTTAGTTTTCTTTATAGATTAGGTTTGACGCAATTTTGCATTGATCTTTGTTCTTGCTTAATGTATGCTATGTGTAATGTGTTTATTATAATTGATTCGTGTTTATTCCTGAACAGGTGGACATTTACTTTAGTCACTATCTACTTTGGGGTATGTCACTTGCTATGTTACTGAGTTTTTTTATTTTCTGTAAAATATTTGACATAATTGAACTTATTCATATTGGATAAGTATTCGAATCTGATATTCATCTCGTGTCTGGGTATTGTAGTTTGGATCTGCAATCTCCATATATGGGTGTCGAAAGCACTGCAGAAAAACAGGTGGCAATCAGGCCGATCACGTAAATTTAGATTCCGAGCAAGGCACTTACGTACCTCCCACCATAGGAGAAATTGCAGATGTATCATACAACCAGTCCAAACATTATGATCCCCATGAAGCTACCTATCATCCTCTGATCGCCGGTCCTTGGATGTATGCGTTTCAAATTATTTATCAGGTAAATTCTTTCAAAAAAAACAGCTTTGGCAGGCCATAAATTCATTCATCATTCTGTGTATCTATATTACTTATAAAATTTATCTTTCTTTAAATATCCTTATTTGACATTCGTATCTAACACACATCCGGAAATGGGTATCGGGTTATGATCTTCCGGGAACTCTTCAATATATGGAAATTTTGGAGGGAAAAAAAACTCGAGCATACCATGTTGAACATGTACCCGTATCTAACACACACAATCCCGAGTTTGAGTAACATGGCCGTGTACTGCTTGTTTACCAAAATCTTAGAATGAACTGTTACCACATATCTTGAAGATAGAAATCAGACTATAATTTCTTGAACAGAAAGTATTAGCAGCTGTCTAGTGACATCTTGCTGTGGTACTCAGACTTTGGTGTGATCGTCGGATATAGGTATATTCAATTTTCTCCAAGTTTTTCACATATTTGGAGGATCTTTGATGGGTTATATCTCTGTAATCCTTTCCAAATATGAATCGGAAATGTGTGCCAAACGTAGGTACTATAAAAAAATGAAATTTCGAAGCAACTTAGCAATCTTCTATCAGTTTTATACTAAGTATTGATAATATGAGATCATTTTTTTTTGAAAGGTGATAATATGAGATCATATTTTAATTGTATTTTAACTTATTTTTATTATTTTGGTATCTCCCAATAGATTTCTGCAGGTGCAGTAATGCTGACTGATACAGTATTTTGGCTCATTATTTATCCATTCCTAACCCCCAAAGGTCATGGCTTGAATTTTGTAAGTTTGATGCTACAAACTCTAATTTTCCTTTGTTTTCTTTCTGCTCCTTTTGTTTGGAACATATGTTGCTGTTTATGCGATCAAACCCCTTTGCTCTTGGCTGAATTATAACTGTGTCAACCAGCAATATGAAGAAGTGGTTTGTTGATATCTTTCGGAGTGATTCAGCTTAGTAAATGCAGGTGTCAAGTCAAGAAGAGGTTTCTCTAACTCAAGGCCAGCATTTACTCTAGGCATTTTATACCAGTGATGAAAAAGCCACTGAATCGTCTTGTTGAACTGATTCAAATGGAAACTGATGGCCCATTCGGTCAAACAGATATCCAAAATCCAGGAAACGAACTAAGCAACCTTTAGTTAGGCCATTTAGGCATGTTTCTGGTCTATATAGGTGTTAACCAGGTGTCTTCTGAGGTAGAGTTGGCTGGGTTTTTGTGAGCTTTTTATTTGTGCCACGTTGTAGAGGTCCATCTGTCTAAGGTCTGATTTAACGCTGCTATTGGAAACTCGGGGTAGAAAAAGCTTGGATTGTTTTAAAAATGTTTTCTAAGTTGACAACAATTGGACACATATTGACTTAGCAGTACACTGAATGTTGAGGATGACCATTGTGCCTAAAAATCTTCATTACACTGTAATTTAAGCTTGTGAAGGTGATCTAAAAGCTTTGTGTAGTTCCGTCAACTTCCTTATTCCTATTGTGTTAGATACGGATATGTATCTGACATGAGCATCGTTAAACTTTTTTCATATATTTGGAGGGTCCTTGGATAGTCATATCCACCGTGCCCTGTCATGTTTGAAAATGTGCAGAACGTAAATATCGGATATTTGTATGAAACTTTTTATCTGGGATTTATGTCCATACTTTCAACTGCAGATGATTGTCTCTATGCACTCGATCAATGCTGTATTCCTAATCGGTGACACCATTTTGAATTGCATGGTAAGTTTTACGGTTTTGGATAGTACAGTGGCTATGTTATTCAAAATAGAATACAAGTGTTTCATATGGATATGTGTCCTTCACAGTGGCATTTCAGTTCCAGTATCTTCCGATCAGTCCGAAAGCTAATGTTACCTTTGCCTTGCAGCGGTTCCCTTGGTTTCGAATTGCATATTTCATTTTATGGACGGGCGCATTTGTTGTTTTCCAATGGATCATCCATGTTTGTGTGAACCTTTGGTAAAGCCTATATTTGTTCTTTCTACAGTGCTATGTACCAGATGAAGGGCTTTATTCTCATAATGTGTTACTCCTCTCTTTGCAGGTGGCCGTATCCGTTCCTCGACTTATCATCCTCGTATGCTCCCTTATGGTACATATTCAATATTTTTTAAAAATATCATTATGGTGTTTCTTTTAAGTGCCGGGTGTCAGGTGTCGGATGTGAGTATGTGTTGGGTAGGTGTATGTTCGTATGCAATTCTTCACTCATCTTGAAGTCTTCATGGTCTAGTAACTAAACATACTCGTATACGACACTCATCTTCAAGCCCTTTTCCTTTAACGAGCTTACCGTTTTGTGATCCGGGACTGAACAGGTACTTGGGAATAGGAGTGATGGTCATCCCATGTTATGGCGTCTTTGCTTTAGTAGTTAAACTCAAGGACTTCTCTTTTTCAAGATCATTCCCAGATTTGTACCGTAAGTTGAGATAAGAAGAGAGATCTTTGGCCAACACCGGCCACTATGACGTGATATTGGCAGGAAATTTACAAAAACCATATGTATTGAATGTGCTGAACATTCATCGAGAACGGAAGGTAAAGAGCCCATGCTTGTAAGGTAATGTCATAATTTGTATATCATTTACATATCTTCTTTAGGTGCTTAAGTTAATTTTCGGTCAATTTAAATTTCTAACATTATAAATATTTCTATTTTAAGTGTTCCAACTTTAGCAACCATTAAAAAAATCTTTAAGTGACATATATATATATATTATAAAAAGTTCATTATTAAAAAATAAAAAAATATATTAAAATATTTTTTTAAAAATCGCTACCCTTCGCCCCTCTCCCTCCCTGGAACCCCAACCATCCCTGAAACCCACATCCCTCTAACCCCCTCAAAAACCATAAAAACCCTCGCATTAAAAATTTTAATACTTATGCAGATGAATTATATGATCGACTAAATCAACATCGATACAGATGAATTATATCAACATAAAAAAAAGATTAATATAATACAATTTAAATATTTAATCCTTGATTGTTGATGATGGTCGTGATATGACCTCAAAGCATACCGAATATAATTTAGTTCTTGATATACATGATTGAGATTGTAATGATAATCTAATCCTACAACCAATCCAACCCGCTTTCCATGTCTTTCCATTGTTGGTGTCTTACCGTCAAAATATTGTACAAGCAGTTTCTTATCTTAATATTTCATCTATCTCATAAAAACTGTTTTTACTGACTTTTTTATTAATATTTTTAACTATGACTCATTGTTATTTAAAATTTATTATTGATAAAAATATTAAAAAATACATTTTAAAAGTATTTTTTAAAATATATTTTAGGGTTTACGGAGATGTAAGCAAAACCAGCCGATTCTCTTTGACGTTAATGGCTAGCTCCTTAAACATTCGTAATCTTATTATTAGTTTTAAATTTTCCATTATAGTCTGCAATGCTGTATTGTCGTAAAAGTGTCGAAAATTTGGTAACCACAATGTTATTATCAAGGGGCCGCAATTCCCTTGCATATGCCGCTGCCGTGAAAGTGTTGGTTCTGCCATGCTACAATTAATGCCGTCAGTTTTCCCGAGCTCTGTATGATTAGGCACAAAAGTTTCTCGCCATGGTACTAGGGATAGCAACGGGTCGGGTATTGGTTCTCGTCCTCGTTTAAAAAATTTGTACCCGTTCTCATTTAAAAAACTGCGGAGATTTAAATAGGGATTTTCATCGGGTAATTGGGGAAAACCGTGGGGAAACGGGTATCCCCGTTTAGTATAAACGATTATTTAAACGGGTATCGGGCCGGGTATATATATTTAAATTAAATATATATAAATATTATATATATATATATATATATATATATTTTTAATTTAATTTAAATTTATTAATATTATATATATATATATAATTATTATTTTAAATATTTATCGGGCCGGATAATCGGGTAATCGAGGCGGGAATTACTAAATCCGTCTCCGTCCCCGTTTAACATAAACAGTTTTCCCCGTCCCCGTTTAACATAAACGGTTTTCCCCGTCCCCTTTTAATTCGATTTTTAATTTTCCCCGTCGAATTCAGGTTCTTTTGCCATCCCTACATGGTACAATTATGTGTATGGTATATTGATATTTAGTGTCTTTATACGGATAGTGTTGTAAGAAATTAAATAAACGGTTTAATTCGTCTGTCTAAAGTTATCACAAGTATAGGTAATTAAGATTGAAACTTTTTAGATTTTAATTTACCCTAAATCACTATAATTATTTTTTAATAGTCCATAGGCATTATATGATAGTCTTTTTTTAAGAATTTTATTAACCTATTAATAATGTACATATATTTTGTACAAGATTTTTGAATTTTAACCATTGAGGTCATTTGATAAATTGAATATGTGGTTATACGTAAAAAAAAAACTCACGACTCAATTGATATTTTACATATAGATGATATTATTCTTTAAGACACATATATACACGTGTGAATAATACTTGTTTTTAATAAATTATTCTATAAGAAAATTATTTTTATATTAAAAATAATTTAATTATTCACTATTATAGCTTTTATAAATATATATATATTATACTTTAATTTAAATGCAATTTCTTTATGAGTAAAAGTTGAATTTTCATTAAATTAAAGAGTTAAAATATAATAATGTCAATGCAAACTCAATATGAAAATTTACAGACTATTAAAAAAATTAAAATCAAAGCATTTGATTGAATATATGCTTTATCTTAAAAAAATAAAAAAATAACAACTATCGATTACCTTCATGTCTTAATAAAAAGTTGTGTCGTGATAAATACAACACGAAATATCAAATTATCATAATAATAAAAGAATAGTATCATAAAAATAAATAAATAAATAAACTTATCATAAATATAGATAAACATAAACTCTACAAAAATATTATTAAATTAAGCAACATCAAATTATCATTTTTAATGATAGTATTATTAAATTAAGTGAAAAAAGAACTGAAACAAATACCTTAAAAATACACATTGAGAAAAAGAAATGTTTTATATAAACAATTTCCTTTATGAAATAAATTAGTATAAAAAATTATAGATTGAATTGCAAAAGACTTATGCATAATTTTTTTAATTATATGTTCGAATTTCAGTAATGAATCTTTAGTAGTTATATTTAGTGATAGGTAAAAGTGTGAAAAGATAGCAATATCCTTATAAAAGTATTTATTGTATTTTATAATTAAAGATAATCTTTTAATTTTCAATTGATGATAATCGTTAATAGGTGAAACTAAATTTAATTTGAAATTTTAATTGTATAATTTAAAATATTTAAGGTTAAGTATATAAATGATTATTGATTATAAGACCTTGTTTTATCAAAATGATCCATTAATTATAGGATTTTTTTTTGTTGAATCCCTTAATTATTAAAAGTTATAAAATGATTATCTCACGTTTTATATGTTCCAATCTCATTTGTTTTTCTGTTAAAATTTTGATTGTCGTCTTAACTGAATACTAAATTATCTAACAAATATATGATTTTATATTTTAATAATATATATTGGCACCACTGTTGATTTCAAGCATTGGTTCGACAAAATAATATTTAAGGCACTAACTTAACGACATAATATAAATATAAAGTCAATCCACAAAATACAACTCAAATGGTTTTGTGATCAAATGTTATCATATTATAGTCAACAAGTGAACGTCCAACTCATACAATTGTTATTTTTTAACGGAAAAATACGAATTTAGAACATATTAATAGTTAAGTAATCATCTTGTAACTTTTAATAATCACATGGCTCAATACAATAATATCCTATAGTCTGGGACTATTTTATAAATTTTAATAGCTTGAACTTAACAAAAATAATATCTTATAAATGAGATATCATTTGTATCATATATCAATATTTTATTTAACAAAATATATTCTTTAAAATATTTTAGTATTAATAATTATTAAATAATAATTAATAAATATATAAATTCTATTAAACATGTGTTTAATTATTAAATAAATTATTATTTAAAAGGAAAAAAGTTTAATAATTTATCAATCAAATTATCATTTACCGAATAATAATATAAGAATTAAGATCTATTTATACTTATATATATATATATATATATATATATATATATATTTTAAAGTTTATACAAATATAGTTAGTTAAATGTGATTACAAAGTGATATATGTTCTAAATAATCTTAATCATTTGACAATGAACGCTTAATCACTTTTGCAGTCGCTAGGGATGCATATCGAGCGAGTCGATCGCGAGTTAGGTTGTGCTCGACTCGTGCTCGTTAAAAAAGTTTGTTACTCGACTCGTTACTCGTTAAAATTTTGCTTCACTCATGCTCGTTAAAAAAACTTGTTGCTCGTTAAGCTCGTTGCTCATTGTTCGCCTCGTTAAGCTCGATGCTCGTTAAACTCACTGAAATTTTTACCCTATTTTATTAATTATAAGTAAAATATACTAATGCACTATACAAAATTTAATATAAACATAAATTAATAAATTTGATCAAAAAAATATCAAAAGAGTATATGAAGTATTTTAAAAGTCTAAATTTCAAGGAAAAAATCTACAAATAAATTAAAATAAAAAATAGGATTTGATTTGAGTGTAGTAAAATAGTAATTAATAATTTAATATTTTTTTATGTTTATTAGAAAATTAATATATTAGTAATTTATCATTTTTTATTATCTATTAGTAAATTTGTAATTTTTTGAATGAAATAAATTTTTAAGATAATTATTAAAAAAAAATTAACGAGATGCTTGTGAATTTATCGAATCTAATTGGATTTTGCTAGACTCAACTCGTTAAGGTATCGAGTCGAGTTCGAACTCCTCAACTCATTAAACATTCCTAACAATCGATGATGCTCAAACTCGTGATATTTAAAAATAATAACAATTATTTTAATCATTGAGATAAATTGAATTAAGTCATTCCTCCAGTAATTTTAAATTTATATTAAATTAAAAAATATACTATGTAATCAGATTTTATCTCGTAATATAAATAGATAAGAAAATCTGACGTAGTTACTTTCCTTTCAAAAATGCACTTCCCATCCCACTATCAGTTCTTTGTTGCCACTGCAATTCCACCAAATTCAATCTTCCAGTTTTACCTTTTAAAGTTTAAAATAATAATAATAAAGGCAAATTCTTAGCCAAGATCCAGCCAGAACCATTATCTTCAACCCTTTTAATCTTTTAAAATTCATTAAGTTCTCCTCATTTCGTTACTGGTTTTTTTTCAAGTGACGTCTTTCATGGATGAAATGTACGGATTTTACTCCACCGGAGATCAGCACGTTGACAACGCCTTAATGTCACCGGAGAACATGATCCTTCCATCCGATTATCAGGCCCGGCTTTGTTTATCCGATCGGGTTCCGGCGTTTGGATCCGACGAGTTAATCTCCCTCGCCTCCGCCATCTCCGAAGCCACTTCTATCACCCCTAAAATTCAACGAGAAGTGGACATTTCAAACGTGATCAAAGCGAAAATCGCTTCTCACCCTTATTATCCTCGTTTGCTTGAGGCTTATATTGATTGCCAGAAGGTGGAAGTAACTGAAATTACTAAAAGGGTTTTCTTTGTTTTTTCTATTTCTGGTGCAAACAATTCACTGGAAAAATGCAGGGTTTAAAAGAATTTCAAGCTTTTTCTTTCTTCCTTTTTCACTATAGCTTCATTAAATAGGATGTAAAACAGTACTGTAGGTGATATGTGCAAGAACATACATCAGGTGTAGAATTTGCTACAGTTGTTTTGTTAGTCGTGTTTTAAATTTCCGTCATTAATGAGGGTTTACGAAGGTTTCTGCTATCGAACAAGTTCGCACTGTGTTTTTTCTTCAATTTCAAGATCCATCCCTTCTTAAAGAAGCTCTCTAACTCGATCAAATCCATAATTTCATCAGAATTATCTCATGAAATATTTCATCAAATAAGTGTATGCAGTATGCTGGAACTTTGTTTTGAATATTGTTCTAAGCTCTTTTTAGCCTATCTTTTTTTATTTTAGGTCGGAGCACCACCGGAGATGGCGAGGATATTAGACGAACTTCTGACGGTGACCGATGTTAACAAGCGGGATATAGTGCGTACTTGCTTGGGAGCCGATCCTGAGCTCGACGAGTTCATGGTTTCTTTCGCTCTTTGTGAGCTTTGAATCTTACTTTTGCTTATCGATTTTCATTATGTAAATGATGATCTGGGGTTTGACTTGTTCAGGAAACTTACTATGATGTGTTGGTGAAATACAAATCTGATCTTTCAAGGCCTTTCGAGGAAGCGACCACTTTTCTAAACAAGATTGAGACGCAGCTTCGAAATCTCTGCAGGGGTGCCTACATTGCAGGCCCTTCTGGTCAGTCCCTTTCTTTCCCACATTCAGAGTATTAGAGTGTTATTTCTTTTGGATTTCTTTATTCTTTGTTCAATCTTTAGATTCTTGGTTTTTGTTCTTTTCTATGTCTTCTTCTATTTCTCTTTCCATGCCTTCATTATGTGCTCCAATTACCCTAGAAAATTTACCCCCCAAAGATCTGAATAAAGCTAAAACCAGTCTATAAAAACCTGGCTTGAATCCCTGCAATTGGCAGGGAAAACTTGGGTTTTGTAGGTTATTGGTGAATGATAATTTAGATCGTTGAGCCCATCATTATATAATTTTCTGCTAAAGAATCCATTAATTGGTTCAAAAAGGATAAATCTTTCGAGTGTTTCAATAATACGATATTACCACCAACAAAAACAGGAGAAACCCTAGAGATGATGTAGACCCTTTTTCTTGTTTAGTCAAACACTCGTGTCTTAGGTTCCTCATAGTTAGGGTGGATTAGTGATTGATCTTCTTTTCTCCAGTGCAATCAGGGTCTTGCATTTGCCTGTTGATGACAGTCTTCTTTACTTTTTCATGTTAGTTTCTATTTTATCTTCATTTTTTTGCCGTTAGTCATAAAGAAAACGAAAGTTAACAACTTTTGGGGTTTCTTTGAGATTATGAATTGACGTTTCAGAGCTGAGTGACATGCGAAATAGTTGCTTGATAGACTCTCACCTGTGCGTTCAACTATTTCATCTTTTTTGCAATGCCTTAGATTATACAGAAACCTATGCCTAGGGGCCAGTTGTTTGAGGTGATTGAACGTTTTTGTACAGCATCTTATGTCATTTTTACCCCAAGGGGTCTTCTTTTTTCTTGCTCTCCGGTGTCCCAAGTTGACACGTTTGTCCTACTTGGGTATAAGGACACGATCTTTCAAAATCCCTGTAAACACAAGGAAAAACCTTCAAAAGTTGTACATATTTGTCTTGGAGACATACATGTATCCGGGAACGGGCTCAAACTATTATATTAGATGGAGAAAACATATTATAAATAAAATATACATAAAAAAATTAAAAATATATAATAATTTGAATTTTCAGTGGGATACTGCTCCCACCGTCCCTCTCGGTCCATTCATGCCTGTATCTTATTCAGAGATTTGTTAAAATCGACCTACAGGCTGCTTGAGTTGTAGGACCTCATTGTTTGTCTAAGCATTTGTTTTCTGCAACCGTGCAGCCATTACATGATCACCAAATCATGGTTCCCTTTGTTCATAGAATTATCCCTCCGCTTCTGTCTTAGATAATACAGTAGATTTACCTTTTGTAGTTTGTTTTTTCATGTGGAATTTCTTGCAGCACATCTGGAGATGTGCTTGTGTTATTCCAAAAAATTCATTGGACATACTTGTATGCATATTTCCTGCCGTTCACGATGGACTACAGATATTTTTCTAAACATTATTCCAACGGGTAAATAAATTCTTTTTCCTGCTGCATTTTGCTGAATTGTTTATGGGTTCAAAACTTTTGCTTGTCGAGAGCCGTGCCTAATCTTCATGATGTGTGATAAAATAATAAAAGATATACTAGGTTTCTCCTTCGTACAAGTTTTGAGCTTGCATCATCGTACATTATACGATTCGATTTTTTAATACATTATAATATAACTATATATAAATTTTAGAATTTAGTAGTATGAGTAAATAAAATCAGAATGATGTTTATAGGGGTGCATTTTAGGATAAAACAAGCTTTTCAGGGAACCCTAAACCCTAGCAAGAATAGATTATTAGTATTATTATCGTGGAAAGAGAAAGACGAGTTGAGCAGAGCAGAGCAGAGCAGAGGGAGGAGAGCAGGTGTTTGGGGGAGTATTTTCACATGGACTCTCGTGGATTCCGCCGCAGAATCAGGTGTGGAACGCCCAGAAAACATATTTATCATTCAATTCTTCAACGCACCCTTTATCTTTTAACTGCGCTTTCCATGGTGGGTTCCATGTCTCTACACACGTGTCTGCATAATCTACCTGCCATAGTGGTCCAGGTTTTATCTCCAGTCTTGAGGATGACATTTATTGGATAAATTAAGCTTTTTATTATTGGAGGGTGATATAATTAATATAAAGTTGGATTCGCTGGGGTATCCAGTAATAATATACTAGCTTTCAGGCACTCTGGGTGTATTTATTAGGGATGGATTGGCTGGACTGACATGTCTAGTGAAACTGACAGTAGACATGACCAGACACTGTGGGTGTTTTTTTCTTTACCCTAAGTATTATGTTTTTGCCTTTCGGTCACTCCCTTTACACTATCGTCTTGTCTAGTCGACGAGTTATTGTCTACGTTTGACCAGATGATGGTGCTGAATCATCGGACGAAGATGTTAGCGGAGGCGAAGGTGAAGCAGGTCTGAAAGATCATCTTTTGCGTAGATTTGGGAATCATATTAGCCGCTTGAAGATGGAGTTCTCAAAGAAGAAGCAGAAGAAAGTCAAACTGCCGAAAGAAGCAAGACAAACATTGTTAGAGTGGTGGAACGTTCACAACTATTGGCCATATCCAACGGTAACGTCGAGATTAATGTTCGATCAAAAAATAATAAATTTGTGGGATCCGTAACATATAATAATATTTGTGGTTGAAGGAAGATGATAAGAAAGCATTGGCTGAAACAACGGGACTGGACCAGAAGCAGATCAACAACTGGTTTATAAATCAAAGAAAGCGCCACTGGAAACCATCCGAAACCTTCCAAATCTTTTTAGATCAAGTCTGAGCACCAAATTCTAATTTCTCATAAATGTACATCAACCCTTGTGTGTTTTTTTCTCCAGCTTTTGCCTGGATTTAAACGAGGATCATTTCTATGTATGTTAGCTATATCTATAATCGCCTTCATTTGTAGTTTAATATAACATATTTGTATTTTATTTATGTACATAATTTGCTAGTATAAATTTAGACGAAAACTTTGAACAAAGATGGACGGATGTCTAATTAGAAAGACATTTCAAAGTAAAATTGAGATGAAAATCTTGAAAATAAAAATTTCTCAGAGATATTTATAAAAGGAATCATTGATGTTTTTTAATTATATGTTTTAAATTATGGTATAATAGCAAATAATGTTTATAATATTTAATTAAATGGTTACTAAGTTCTCATTTTTTTTGTTGTTGAGTATTTTGTCCCCCAATAAAAATTAAATTAACTGACCTTTATTCCCATATGTAATAGGGTAAGGGGAGGTAGGATAGTAGGCTGCCCCCAACGTCAGGTTGAGAGCAGCTTCCGTAAGAGACCTCCGAATTACGAAATGCCCTTCGTGGGATTTGATCTCACGACCCCAAGGTTAAGAGACTTGTGCTCTACCAACTGAGCTGGATGGCATTTAAATCAAATATTGAGGATATTTTTTGACATTATGGTATAAATTATATACGATAGTGTCCATATTTATACGTCAAAAAAAACTCAATTAAAATTTTCAGAATCAACAAAGTACAATTGTTTTAGAAGACGAAGTGTCTAAAGATTTATGTGAATTTATATATTTTAATATGATTCTTGTTATTAATAATAAATTTCATCTTCATAGGATGATTCTTTTCTAATACATTGTTGAACATCAATAGTAGGGAAAAATTGAGTAAAATCCTAGAATCACATATTTTCGTTGTTGGGTAGGGTTGTAGGCTTGTAAACGAATCGAACGGAGTATGTTCGAGTTCGTTCATTTAACTTTAATCGAACTAATGAACGAACACGAACATAAACTAACAAAAAATTTCTTGTTCATATTTGTTCATTTAAACGAACATAAATGAACATAATAAATGAACGTAAACAAACACAAACTAACGTACGTAGACGAACACAGTAAATGAACATAAACGAACATAAATGAAAATATGTTTTTTTCTTTCCTAATAATTTTAGGATTATAATTGTTTTGGGCTTTTTTTATTTGTATTTAAAATTAATTGAAATTTAAAATATTTATGGGTATCAAATTAAAATTTATTAGGTTTTAATATTTTAAATGGGTCTAGAGAAGTTTGGCTAAACATAAATAAACACACATAAACGAACATAAATGAATGAATATAAACGAACATATTACTAAACGTTCACGAACGTAAATGAACGAACAAGTCCTCTGTCCGTGTTCGTTCATTTAGTTAAATAAACACAAAATCTTGTTCATGTTCGTTCGTTTAATAAATAAATGAACATAAACGAACTTCCCGCCGAACGATTCACATAACGTTCGGTTCGTTTACAAGCATAGGGAGGGATGAAAAAGAATGAACGAATGTTGTCTGATATCTTGATTCTTAATGATCTTGTCCGTCAAATTATGAGCGTTTATTGAAAAGTTCATTCGGCATCTTTGTTTTAGCCTTGACCGTCATACAAAAATTCCTTAATTTAAATTGGTCATTCTATATATCTTTAGGTGCAATGCAAGGGCAGTTAAGGTAAACATCTCCCTCTGTGAACAATGGTATAATGGTTGAGGTGTCCATAATATATTGTATTTTTATCAAACTGTCACGAGCATCCCCAAACTAAGTTGCATGCAGTACAACTTTGTCACACCAAATTTCATCTATATAACCTTTAATGTTAGATTGAACAAGACATTGATTTCCCACCTTTACCTCATTCTTCGTGAAGATATTGGTATGTCATAAAACGTTTCTTACTCCATAAGCTAAGGTGAATTTATCGATAGGTAACATTGTACAATTTCCTATGTTTATGATAACGAAACATAGTTTTTCGTAAATGACACATTTTGTATGTAAACTTTATTTTGAGTTAATGTCATCATTATGTGTGGTTTTAGTGTCAGTGCGATAAGAAAATGTTTCTATTATTATTTTTAAGAAGCCTATTTTGCAGAGATTGTAAAATGAACAATTTGGAAGGTGATATGCTATGAATATTTAAGAAAATGAGATGGGTCCGAGAGTATCATATCAACAAAATTTACATAGAATTTACAATAATTTGATGTAGAATTGTGAGAGTAAAGCATTCATTCTACCTAGTGTCTGCATATGTTTGCTCAAGATGCTTGACCCACACGAAATCTGAAGATTTTTCTGTTGCCAAAACTGAGTTCTACCCTAAGTAAGAATATACTCTTTCACCTTCGTCCGACTTTAAACATCATCTTGGGTGAAAGGAACTGTGATCGACAGTGGCAACCGAATTAGTACCACCTGCATTAAGCGGATAGTTTTCATTCTCGCTCGTGTCATTGAATTCCATGGTCTGATCATCCATGAAAGGAGGACTCGTCGGTGCGGGGAGGTCTTCGTCTTTCTTGATTAGCATCTGTAGTACCTTTGACATGGACGGTCTTAGTGATCGATTCTCTTGAGTGCAAAGAAGCCCGATATGCAATACTCTGTATATCTGATTCTTGACACCGCTACATTGATCGTTATCTTTTGGCATTATATTCTGATCATAAATCTCCTCTGCAGTCCCTGATTGAAAGTGATTCCATGCCTATTTAAACAAAAAAAATATGAAAAAGAATTAAAAATGGAAATCAGCTTTATTTAAAGTCATGATTAATGTGGGAAAACTTTAGGAGGGATTGTCTGAAGCTTACAACTGCAATTATGCTGTCTGAGTAATCCGTGTCTCTGCTTCCATTGTTTTGCTTTCCGGTTACCATCTCTAGTAAAAGCACACCGAAACTATAGACATCGGCCTTGTCCGTTAACTGGCCATTGGCTAGATATTCTGGAGCCATGTAACCTCTGTGGGTCGTAAAAGTAGAAATTACAAATTCGAACATGAGAAGCTTTCAACTATGCTAAACCAAGATGATGCTTACAGTGTTCCAGCAACAGCAGTGCTGATATGACTCCGATCTTCATCGAAAGCCCTCGCCAAACCAAAATCAGCAATTTTGGCACGAAACTTTAAATCCAACAGGATATTGCTAGCTTTTATATCCCTGTGAATGATTTTGTTTGTGGGGTTCTCGTGAAGATAGACTAAACCTTCTACAGTCCCGATGATAATTTGGTATCTCTTTTCCCAGGTAAGTTCTTTACCTCTGCTGGGATCTGTTTATTTTTTGGGGAGGTTAGTAAAAAGCTGTTAGTGATATATCAGTATCGGTTTAAGCTTTGCTATCGATGTTGGAAGTAAATATCGGTGTTTACCAAAGATGAATGAATCGAGGCTCTTATTAGGAAGGAACTCGTAGACGAGAAGACTTTCGGGTCCAGAACAACTACATCCCAAAATTCTCACCAGGTTTTTATGCTCCACACTGCTTATCATATTGATTTCATTGTAGAAGTCTGCGGCTCGATGTCGATTGTTATAGAAAAGTCTCTTGACAGCTATCTCTCTTCCATCAGGTAGAGCCCCCTACAGATGACAAAAAATCACTAACCATAGCATACCGGTTAAATGACTAAAGTGCAGTGGGAACTGGTGGAAAAACTACCTTATAAACTGTCCCAAATCCTCCTTGTCCGAGCTTGTTCACCTCGTCAAACGATCCTGTTGCCTTCTCGAGTGTGGAGTATTTGAAATTTAAGCTACTGTCACGAAGGACTTTCACCCACTGTTCTGCATCATTTTGATCTGGAATTCAGAAACATTTTAGCAACAAAGACAAGGTTCACCACATTTCCAGGTAGAAAATCATAACAATTCCGTGTAATTGAAAATTTTAGATGACATTCTATGACGTTTGTTCTTTTGCTTCTTTAGTGTAACAGAAAGAGAAACGAGTTGCAAAATGTCAGAATTCAAATTGTACAGTCGAGGTGACTGCATGAACAAATTGAACTAAACATATGATTCAGTAGGTAAGCTTTTTACTACCTCTTTTCTTTTGTATGTATCTGCGCTTCCAGATATAAGCTCCAATAGCTGCAAGAACAGCCAAAACAACAAGGGAACTGACAGTGGAAACAACTATAATTATAATGGTTCCTGCAAAATCATGAATACAAGTCACATTTGATTAACATTTTTTTAATGTGTAGAATAGATGAAAGAAGCTAAAATTTGTTTTACCTCTTGAACTTCCATTTCCAGGTTCTTTATTGAGGAAATCTATATCAGAGTATATCATGAAGCAGCCAGTGTAGAGTGCCCGCCCCTCTGACCATGGCAAGCACCTTAACAAAGCAGCCGAAGCATTCTCATAACATGCTTCACAAGCACTCCGGTTCAATGTCCTCCAACAATTAACCAAAACATAAGCAGTCTCATTTAATGCCGACCGCGCCACCTGAGCCTTAGCATAATGCCCTCCATTATTAAGTGCAGTAGTCACCGCCCGCGACACTGCTTCTCTAGCTGATGCTTGAAAATTTGATCCCTTGCGGCTTGTATTCCCGCACACAACCTTGTCATACGGTCCCAAGTACTCATCATAGAAGCTATAGTTGTCAGATCTCATGAAGCACCCATCGAGGAAAACTCGGCCACCAGTGTTCGGAAAGCATTGAGGAAGAACATCACGCCCCTCCGCAAAACACAATGGACAGTCGGTCAAAGATAGATCCCCATAACACTGAGCTAGGCCATAGTTAGCATCAGGCCCTGAACCAGTAACTGCGGTTCCCCAACCGAACTGACGCATAAGATCATTGATTTCCTCCATTACAAGAATGAAATTGGGAACGAATTGAGTTCTGTTATTCTCCTCTCGAGAGGCGCATGTCATGTTCACTATTTGAGCTCTTGGTTGTGGTTGAACTGTTCCGAGTAATACTAGAGATCCGATCA